ATATATATATATATATATATAACTTTTTAAAATTAAATATTAACCGTTAATTTGTTTGTAATGCTAAATTTGTTGCTATAATTATAATTATATAACTTTAATTACCATTTTTTTATGGTTTACAAACAATATATTACTTACTATAAATTACTATAGTATTTAATGTGGGAAATTATTAATAAAAAAGTTACTAGAAAATTAAGCATATAAATACTATTAAATCGCTTGAGTTAAATATAGTGTTATACATTTATCCGTGTAAAAGGAAATAATTGCCTATATTAACCTGCTATTATTTCCTTCATTATAAATGAATCCATTATATACATTAAACCTGTCCAAATTTGATAGTTCAGCAAGGCAAGCAAACGAATATCTGCTATAGTGACTCAGATAATAGTGACTGATCATCTATGATGACTGATGGAAAACTGTTCAGTCTATTTTATTGAATGGCGACTGGAAACAATGTTCCCCATTCGCTCGTCACGATCACCATATTTGAGAATTAGTATACACTATTGCTTATTGTGTACAATATTTATTAGCTGTATATAAAATATAATGCTGATGATTATCCGTCGTAACCATATATGGTTTGCCTAGATTGTGTGTGCCTGAAACGTGTGTGGGTCTGCAGGCCTGCAGCTGGATAATATTGGGAGAATTTCTGAAACTGCTGATCTACTGAAATTTTAACGCACAACCGTCTCTAGGGTTTACAGAATTGCCTAAAAAAGAGAAAATATCCAGTGAGTGGACCAAAATCTCTGAGGAATCTATACCACGAAGGATTAGGGCAGTTCTGAGGGTAAAAGGGGGTCCAACCAGATACCAATAGGGTGTACCTAATAAAGTGGCCGATGAATGTATTTCCTAGAAGAAGAAATCATTGGTTCAACAATGTTTCAAGAATATGAATAATACAGACAAACATATGAAGGAATGTTTGTGTTTTTGCACACTCAACAATCTGGCTTCTAATCTGAGTCTGGTGAAAGAGGAAGTGAACACATGACCTCTTTAAAAATGAGAAACATTGTTTGGTCTTTAAGGGTGTCAGTAGTTTTGACAACAGTGGATGAAATGAATTATTAGCCGTTATTTTCCACTGGATGGTTTAAAGAAGCAGTATTGAGTGAAATGCGGATGCAGCAGTATCTCTGTCTACTGTGATCCTCTCGGTCATTTGAGCAGCTTGACATCTGATCTGTTTGTCTCATCAGCGTTTTTAACAGTTTCTCTTCCTTTCGATTTTAGGCCATGAATTTGGTAAGTGAAGTGCTTTGTGGTCTGCTTTGGCTGCAGAGCTTTATCCGCACACAAACACACCTACAGACGCTCAGCTTTTGCAGATTGATGCTTTAGTTTGCGCACTTCAGTGCTTTTGCTGCTCGTGTCTCACAGTTTGGATGAATTTATCAACCACTACTGCTGTTTTTTTATTTCATTTACGCATTACATCTTTGCTGAAGCTTTAGAATGATTTATTCTGCATCAGATTGTTGCATCACATTATATTTTATTTATTATTTGTTCTGTAATATTAACTGTTTAATTAACTACAGTTGAAGTCAGAATAATTAGCCCCCTCTTAATTTTTTTCTTCTTTTTTAAATATTTCCCAAATGATATTTAACAGATCAGGGAAATGTTCACAGTATGTCTGATAATATTTTTTCTGATGGATAAAGTCTTATTTGTTTTATTTTGGCTAGAATAAAAGCAGTTTTTAATTTTTTAAAACCCATTTTAGGGACAAAATTATGAGCCCCTTTAAGCAAAATATTTTCTCGATAGTCTACAGAACAATCCAACGTTATACAATAACTTGCCTAATTACCCTAACCTGCCTAGTTAACCTAATTAACCTAGTGAAGCTTTTAAATGTCACTTTAAGCTGTATAAAAGTGTCTTGAAAAATATCCAGTCAAATAGTATGTACTGTCATCATGACAAAGATAAAATAAATCAGTTATTAGAAATGAGTTATTAAAACTATTATGTTTAAAAATGTGTTGAAATAATCTTCTCTCCGTTAAACAGAAATTGGGAAAAAATAAACAAGTTGTCTAATAATTCTGGCGGGCTAATAATTCTGACTTCAACTGTATGTGTTTGAAAATAAGATATGAAGTTAACTCTGAAAGAGAAAAAAAAATGTTTGTTTTTTTATGCATTAAACACTTTCTAGAGATTTATACGATTTTATTCTGTGCCAGTTTATTGTATCACATTTTATTTTATTTGTAATAACTCTTTACTCGTGTGTTTAAAATCAAATACAAATAGAGGAAATGCTGTTGATTATATTGGATTTTTAGGAACTAACTTTTTTTTTTTGCTGGATTTCCTTAATGGACACTTTCACACTTCCGTCTCTTTCCTTCTGTTTTATTCTTTGTCTTCTTTCTCTTGACTGTATGGACTGTCTTTACATTCATTGAATATTTATGCTGTTCACATGTTGTGTTAATATTGTATGTTATATATCAATGTTTTTTTTTTTGGGTGGCTGGATTTAAATGCGAGCACAATATTGTGCATGATACTGTGCCTTTAAAAGCATGTGTTTTGCATGTTTGTCTAAAACATAAAGCATGCAGATCTTGCACTAAATTTATATTGCTATAGGGATTTGACTTCATTTATTTAATCGAATATATATTAAAAAACGGAAATATCATGAAATAATAATACCAATTAGAATAAAGTGTTTTTATTTATTATTATTATTTAAATATATAATAAATTATATTTTATTTGATAGTGGAATTTCCAGCATCATGACTCCATCTTCGGTGATCATTCATCATTTACTGATTGTTATCAATGTTAAAAAAACACTACTGCTTATATTTATTTATTTTTACAGCTAAATACAAAATCGAAAAACAAACAAACAAAAAAGAGACGTTTTAACAGTACATTACTGCTTCTCAGAAAAGTTTACATATTGACAATTTTGAAAGTTCCAATTACTATATATTTTTAATATTATACAGTTAAGGTCAGAATTATTAGCCACCTTTTTATTTTTATTTTTTAAATATTTCCCAAATGATGTTTAACAGAGCTAAGAAATTTTCACAGTATGTCTGATAATATTTTTTTTCTTCTGGATAAAGTCTTATTTGTTTTATTTTGGCTAGAATAAAAGCAGATTTTATTTTTAAAAAGACATTTTAAAGTCAAAATGATTAGCCCCTTAAGGCTATATATATATTTTTTTTTTGATAGTTTACAGAACAAACTGATGTCTTCAGATGTCTTTTATTTTAAGACATTTGGTTATTGCTCTTAAACAATTTATGTGTGCTGCATCTTATTTAAAACTTTACAAAACATTCAAAGTTAAATTTTTTTTTTAAATCTGTATACTCTTAAATTACAGCAAGCATTGATTGTAGTGATATGAAACTGTAATGCAGCCAAAACCTACCTGGAAATAACTGCACATCTTCAAATGTTCATCAGCCAATCAGAATCAAGCATTTAACAGCCCTGTGGTCTAAAATGAAATATTGTATTAATAATTGAAAAAAATCATCACAGAACTTAATCTCAGAAGATGTGTATTATGACATATGTGAAGCTTCTTTTAGCCAACTTGAATGTTTTCCCAGTGAACCCATCTCCTAATGCTCCCTCACTTTATCTCAGGATCAGGCTTCAAAAGACAAAGCTCTTCAGAACATGGCGGCTCTGTCCTCAGCTCAGATCGTGTCTGCCAGTGTGATGAAGAGTCAGCTTCCTCCTCTTCCTCAGCACCCATACCCTCCTCCAGCCCGGGTAAGTCACTGTTCACAATTCGCCAGTTCACTCATTCACCATAACCTTCGCACTCACATAAATTCGTTTTTTTATTTTTTTCTGTGCAGTTTTGGCCCGGCCCCATCCCAGGACAGCCTGGACCTTCTCAGGAGTGAGTATTTCAGACCCACATTTGATCTAAGAACAGTACTCCTGCAATGCTGATGTTTCACTGTGTCTCTCCAGCATCAAGCCCTTTGCACCGAGCCCGTACCCTACCCTTCAGCCTCCACCCATATCAAGTAAAGATCCCCAATTTACCAAGTGCAACATATTCGTCTTTGTTATGTAGTAAGAATTGCTAAAATTACCATGGTTTTACTAAAGTAAAACTGTAGTTACAATGGCAGTACTAACCATACTCTGCTTTTAAAAAAACATGGTCTTGATACCAAGGTTTTACTACAGTAATACTATAGTAGGATTAGTAGAAAAACTGTAGGAACCATGACTGTAGTTATGTTTTTTGAACCATGGTATGCACCAAAAACATGGTATCTACAGTTTTACTATAGTACTACTACAGTGTTGCTGCAGTAAAACTATAATTGTGTATATGTATATGCTTTATTTTGTAGTTACAGTGGTTTCATAGATATATACACTAGATATCGCATTGGGACCCTGAGCATGCGTCAATAGCGCCGCCACATTGGTACAGTGCTCCCAGGACAAATGTCATTCAACCGCATTAGTCAAGACAGTGTTATTACGTGAAGATATGGGACTTTAGTGCTGTCTACGGGTGTAGTAACGAGCAAACAAAGAAAACAAAGCACAATGGCAGAACATTTCATAGGTAATATTAAGGTTTTTTTTCTGTTTTTGTATGTTCTGAACTTTTATGCTAATCAGGTAACGTTATTGAGGATGACAGTCACTTACTGCATTCACTATATGGCAAAGTAGCTCCAACTCGCACTAAACACTCGGCTTATGCTAGTTTTGTTGAATAAAATCAGCAATAAATGCAAAAGAATATGACAACGAGATGCTGCGGTGCCAGAAACTGGTATTATTGTCGGCTAACGTTAGTGAAAGAGTCGTTCGGGGGGATTCATTCACAAACGAATCGCTCTCTCCGTCAGTATGAGAAGTGAAAGCAGGAGAGGAGCTGTGTTTCAGGACATGATTAGATTAAATTTAACAGGGAGGGTGAATAGTACATTTCTGTACACACAAACACAAGCTTTTTGTCAGGAATGCCCGTGCGGTCACTCATCCATCAATGTAGAAAAGTGATGTAAAATTATAATTTTCGTAATTAGAAAAAAAAAAATTGCATACTAACATCCAGGAAAACTCCCGATCACAGATATATGTGTATATGTGTATATCTCTGGCTTTGGATGGCCACAGTCCTCCACTGTACCTTGATCCCGCATTCATTTCAAAGGAGCGCTACCCTGTAGCAAGATGGCGGCGCTATTGACGCATTCCGTCCAATAGACAACAATAGGCTAGGTGACATCTAATGTATATATCTATGCAGTGGTTTTACTTCATGACCACAGTAGAATATAACTGTTTTAGTGTTACTGTGGTTTTACTTTAAAAAAAAAACATAGTAAAAATATAGTTCATTTTGTGGTTACTATACATAAATTATGTTTACTATGGTAAAACCATGGTTAATTTATAAAAGGAAACTCACAGCTCAATCTAAACTAGCATGCTTGTTTCACCAGGTTATGAGCAGTTACCTGCTCCACTCCCCCCGAGTGCAACCGCTGTGCCTGTGTGGCAGGACCGGACCATCGCCTCCTCAAAATTGCGAATGCTGGAGTACTCCGCCTTCATGGAGGTCCAGAGAGATCCTGATACTGTGAGTCAAACAGAGTTACATGTATGGAAGACATGTTTTTCCTGTGCAAACAGCACATTAGATCAGGCGTGCCCAATAACCCTTTTCCTGGAGATCTACCTTCCTGCAGAGTTCAGCTGCAACTTTAATCAAGCACACCTGTCATTAATTATCAAGTGCTCCTTTAAACTGCAGTCCCACTGGACTTTTCTCCCCTTAGACTTCCATTCATACGCACACAAATGCGTCCGACCGGAAATGCAAGGTCATGTGACAAGTTTTGCAGGTCGCTGCAGTGGAAAATTCAAGCTTAGTGAACTCTGACCTGCAAAATCGCATGACTTGACTGCGTGAGACCAATTGAGGATCAAAACATAAGACAGAAATGTAAAACATGGAGCAATCCCTCGCTTTTTTTAATGTGTAATAATCTCGTTTAATCCTGCCCCTTTTCGCAGCGCCACACGACAGACTTTTGCATTATTAAACTCTAGTGTGACGGCAGCTTTAGATCCTAATTAGTTGGTTTAGTTGTGTTTGATCAGAGTTGGAGCTAAACCGAACTTATGGAATGTAGTTCAAGGGCCTGTTTCATAAACCAAGCTTACAGAAAAAGCCAGGCTTATTTTGATAAGTCAGGTTTATTAATGGCGGATTTGGTTTCATAAATCAAATTTACGATAGTTTAAACTCAGTTACTCTAGCAACTTATGCTGGGAAACAAGCCTGGTCCGGGGCAGGCTAACTCTCAGGCCAAGTCTTGAGTTCAAGCTTAATCAAGTCATAATTAACATTCACCTGCGGTAATTTGATGCCATTTTAATTCACTTAACCTCTTAATAATGATTCAAACTTTATAGTCACTTAACAGTGTATATCTACCAAACATCTTTAATACGTATTAAACAACGTAAAAATACAAACTACAACATATTATATATTTTTGATGTTTCTATAGATTTTTTTTTCCTGTTTATTGACATTTTATTGAATATTTTCCCTCAACATATTAATTTGGGTGCACTAATTTTTGGACTGTGATCTTCATTTTATTTTTTGTTGGATTATTTTTTTAATCCAAAAGCAATTTTTTTTTTATTTTGCTTTTGCTTTTTGCACATAGACATTATTGTAAAGCATCCTGTAGAAAATATTAATTTAAAAGAGATCTGTGATGGGTCTTCTTAGCTATATATATATATATATATATATATATATATATATATATATATATTTCTTGCATATATATATATATTTCTTGCATGCTGAATCTTTTAGAAATGTTAGTTGTAAACTTTTTTTGTGCTACTATTTCAGTCTGTATATATATATATATATATATATATATATATATATATATATATATATATATTCATTCATTCATTTTCTTTTCAGCTTTTTTTTCGTCCCTTTACTCATCAGGGGTTGCCACAGAGGAATGAACCGCCAACTTCTCCATCATGTTTTTACGCAGCGGATGCCCTTTCAGCCGCAAGCCATCTCTGGGAAAAAATTAAATAAAATTAAATATATATATATATATATATATATACAGACTGAAATAGTAGCACAAAAAAAGTTTACAACTAACATTTCTAAAAGATTCAGCATGCAAGAAATCTTAAATATGCCACACCAATATTACATTTAGCTTTATTGTAGTTACTGAAAAATAATTTTCAGTCGTTTTCATTTTCCATCACAGTATACAAGACAAAAAACTTACATTATGTGTTTTAAGGATCGTGACGTTCCACATATTTTTTGTGTGCAAGATCAATAAAGGTTTCCTCTTGATGTGTCGCCCCACAGTACAGCAAGCACCTGTTTGTCCACATCGCCCAGACAAACCCCTCATACACAGATCCGCTGCTGGAGGCCGTGGACATCCGTCAGATCTACGATAAATTTCCAGAGAAGAAAGGAGGCCTGAAGGAGCTGTATGAGAAAGGCCCACAGAACGCATTCTTTCTCGTCAAATTCTGGGTCTGTTTATTAAATGCTTTATAACACATACACAGTAAAAATATGCAGGGTTTCACACAATCAATTTGTGTTGAGACAACATGAAGGAATTAAGTAAACTTACTGTTTTATTTTTTACTAATTTAATTTAATTGAACATAAAACAATTAAGTTGTCACAAAAACTCAAGAACTGTGTTGTTTCTGCTAATTTTAAACAAGTAGTTTGAACGAACAAACAATAAACGTGATTTTTTTTGAGTGCAGATTTGCAATGTTGTGCTACTGAAATCCAACATTATGGGCTCTATTTTGACGGTCCATGCGCAGAGCACAAAACGCAGGGCGCAAACGCTTTCAGGGCGTGTTAGAACGCGTTTTTGCTAATTTAAGGACGGGAAAACCTGCTTTGCCCAATGGCGCATGGTCTAAAAGGGTTGAGGTTATTTTCTTAATGAGTTATAGGTGTGTTTTGAGAATAAACCAATTAGAGTCTCATCTCCCATTCCCTTTAAGAGCCTTTAAGAGCCAAGAGCGCATTCCCTATTTAAAGGACGCAAAGTAAGTCTTAGTGGAAAAAATTAGCATTTCACAAGCAAACAGTTAACAGCTTTTTTTTTTAACAGAAAACTGTTAAACAGAGCATCTACTGCGTGAGAATGAGAGATAATGGATCTACTTTCACATTCGCTCTTGGATAGGGAAACCTTTATGCACAGACATCAATTAGTCTATAAATAAATAATTTTGTTTGTTAAGCGCAAATATTTGTTTCAAAACTATTTCTAAATTCAGTTCTAATTTCCAGCAAACGAATTAATGAATAATAATAACAAAATGTGCTCAAAAACCTGAGTTATATCCTAAAACACATGCTGTGCCCCATGTGGTGTAAAACCTGACAGGTGGGCAAATCTAAGCTTGTTTTTAATAAAACAAATATAAATATAGATATAATAAATAATACTGCTAATAATAATAACATTATACAAAAGAAAATTGTTATGAATTAACTGAAAAAGCCTCCCGAGATGAAGAAGACATAAAAGCAGTGATTTTTCATATTTATGTAGGCTAGAAAATAATATGTTTTGTAATATTTTAATCCTTTATATTTATATCCTATATCTATTCTTATTATATCCTATATATATCCTTAATATTTAATTTTTTTCATATGTAAAGATCTTTGCCTATTGCTCTCTTGTGCGTATTAAGCAGCGTGTAAGCGAGGCGCAACTCTGCGCCGGAGTTTAGACCGGGTTAGTTTTGGTCTAATGAAAAATCTATTATAGTTTCTCAAAATAGCAACGCGCCAGCGGTCCGCCTCAGAACGCCTTCCTTTTTAGACCAGAACGCCTATGGGCGCACAAATGAGCGCTAATGCATTTGCTATTTAAACAACGTAGCGCAACGCCTCAAAACGACTCTTGCGTCAAGCTGAAACTACCAAAAGACTACTGCGCCGCGCCTTGCGCCACACTGCGCTGGGTGTATGATAGGGCCCTATGTGTTTGTTAACTTATATAACTAAAACTGTATAAAATGTAACTGTAGAATTTTCACTGACCACATGAAATCAAACGTTTTCTGTTCATTTTTGTTGCTAAAAAAATTGTCAAACTCTTTTTATGTATGTAACTAAGGTTTTCTGTCATCTGTTTCAGGCTGATCTGAACAGTAGTAATGTTCAGGATGGCGCAGGCTCTTTCTACGGGGTCAGCAGTCAGTACAGCAGTGCTGAAAACATGACCATCACTGTGTCCACTAAAGTGTGCTCGTTTGGCAAGCAAGTGGTGGAGAAGGTAGAGGTGAGTTCACCATCTGTGCTTTTGTCGTATGCACCTTTTTATTACATATGATGATGCTTTTGAATTATGGGAACAACTTCCATTGAAATGTAAACAATCAGTGATTAAAAAACAAACAGGGTACAATGAAGGGCTATTAATCTCCTCACAATTGTTCCGCAATAAGCACACTAAAATAAATTTCAGAGGTTTAGAAAGAGCAAGTCTAATTTCAAATGCTGAGTAACGATTTACTAATAATGTGCTCCTGTTATGGTACGCCTGCCTGTGATTTGAGCCATTTTAAGAGTGAATAAACGTGAGGTATCTTTTTCCTCAGTTAGAATATGCAGTTTTGTCAAATTAAATCTTAAATTTAAATAAAAGTTGTTTTTTCCTGTTTTGAATAATTATGTTAATCTTTCAGTATTGTTAAAATTCATATTAAATAACCTTATATTAAAAAAACCTTACAAAATACCAAGGCTTTAAATATAACTGTGCTGTAGAAAGTACAGAGAGAACATAGACACTGAACTCTCTGGCTGCAGATGTGCTTGTGATACTAACGTCACATAAAAATGCAAAAGATGTTACTTTCACCACTGATAGACATAAAAACATTAAATCAACTACACCTCTCACTTAGTTTTAATTATATATGGATTAACTTTACAACACCATTATTTATTCAAATTATTTGTTTCTGTTCTTTTCAATGGAAGTTTCCCAATTCTGAAGTTTTGCTGTAGATGGTCAGTACTGAAACTAGTGGATTCATTGAATCAGCATCTATATTTTGACCTTTTGACCCTTAGACGGAGTATGCGCGTGTGGAGGGTGGGAGGTACGTTTACAGGATCCATCGCTCACCTATGTGTGAATACATGATCAACTTCATCCATAAACTCAAGCATCTGCCCGAGAAATACATGATGAACAGCGTACTGGAGAACTTCACTATACTGCAGGTAAGAGATGGAGAAGTGACAACAAGACTAGCAACACGCTAACAAAATGTTAGAAATACATTATATTATACCATAACAATATCCGTTAAATAGCATCTGCCTGTAGCTCATAATTCCAATTCACATGTTTATTTGCATTTTCAAGTTGACTTACAGAAACTTGATCTCTCCTCTGATAAATTTAATGGTAAAAATGTAAATCTAAAATAAAACATTTTGTTGTATATTGAAATAGAAATCTACATTCTAAAAATACTATGTGGCTGTTACCAAAAAGGCGACGCAGTGGTGGAGTGAGTAGCACGTTCGCCAGGTCGCTAGGTCGCTGGTTCGATCCTCGGCTCAGTTGGCATTTCTGTGTGGAGTTTGCATGTTCTCCCTGCGTTCGCGTGGGTTTCCTCCGGGTACTCCGGTTTCCCCCACAGTCCAAAGACATGCTACAGGTGAATTGGGTAGGCTAAATTGTTCGTAGCGTGTGTGTATGTGTGTTTCCCAGAGATGGGTTGCGGCTGGAAGGGCATCCGCTGCGTAAAAACTTGCTGGATAAGTTGGCGGTTCATTCCGCTGTGGTGACCCCGGATTAATAAAGGGACTAAGCCGACAAGAAAATGAATGAATGAATGAATGAATGAAAGTTACCAAAAATTGGGTCAAATATGGACTAATCTATATATTGTGTAAAAAGCATTATTCATGTTTATTGGAACACATTTTTACTTGACCAAAAGTTGGGTTAACCTCATTATCTAGTACCACACTTTACATGATCAACCTGGGGTGCGTTTCAACTAAGGTCACAAGTTCCGTCGTTACAAGCATAGTTCATTGATTTGCCGTTTCCCAAATCCATCGCTCCAAGGAACATTCGCTTACTGCGTCGCAAACTTGAGCACTTGAAACTACACCTCTGGAGCTGTAGTTAGAAACATACTTCCTGGCTGTGTTCTATTCCCACTTATCACAGAAAGAAATCACAGGAGGGCTAATTCTGACTTCAAATGTAGTCTTCTGATGCACTTTCATGAATATGTTTTTCTCTTCCCCAGGTCGTCACAAACCGAGACACTCAAGAGACTTTGCTCTGCATTGCGTTTGTGTTTGAGGTGTCGACAAGCGACCACGGTGCACAGTATCACGTTTACAGACTCGTCAAGGACTGAATGACTGCCGTGCCCAAACACTAAACTCAAAAAAGAGGAAAACTAGACAACCTGAAGCTCAGAAACACAATCATGGACAAAACACACATGTCGGGATTCTCTGCACTAGGTTGTGTTGTATATTTAGTCGTGTTCCTTAAAGGAGATGTACTTTCAGGGATAATTCTGTTTCTTCCTTTGTACTTATATATATATATATACATATTATTTTTTGTGAGATGAAAAGCTGTTGAAAGTCTGGTGGGTTCATTTTGATTGTGACCCTTGTCATGTATGGTACTAAACTCTGAAGGCACAAAGGTCTTTTTTAAAAGTGATTGAGGAAAGTAATGCTGGTTGATATGAGTTTTTTGCTGATCAGGAACTTGGCGATTGCATATGTTTGCTACCTCTTGGACAGATCAAGGCTCAGATTGTGTTGAGGAGGATCTGTGGGTTTTGAGAATAAAAAGGAGATTTTGTGTAGGAAAGAGACACTGAATGTTTGATTTAATGGGAAGTGCAAGTTACAAGAAGTTTGGGATTGATGTTACATGAATGTCACACACTTTGGAGGCCTGTTTGCACCAAGAATGATAGCTGTAGAGATAACGATTTGTATCTTATCGTCCTCACAAGCGGACAATGAAAATTTGTATTATTTAAAGTGCCATTTTAAGATTTGTATTGGCTCCTGCGTTATTCAGTGGTTGTTATCTTGGAATTACATACAAGGGAATGTCATGACTGAACAAACAGAATCAAGTATTTCAGCTGTGTAATAGATACGGGATAATGTACATCCAGCCGGTTTTCAACATAAGACTAAAGGGCTTTATTCTGTGAAAGCGTCTTGCTACATGTACATTATCCTTCACAATTAGACACAAAATATTAATCTGAGCTGTAATTACTAGCTCTTATTAAACGTAAAGTTGAAAGAAGGCAAGAAAGCAGGCTGGATAAAGCCTAACCTAACCCTCATATATTTATATTCAGTTGTTCAGTTGCAAGATGGCGCCAAACAGAACACACAAAATGTTGATTTAAATTGACATTATTTTGCCTTGAAAGGTCTACGTTGGCTCTCAGTTTGTTTGTTTTTTAATCTCTAAACGGTTTCAGATTGGGTGTCAATGGAGTGAATGAGTTTTATTTTCTACAAAGTACTTTGCATTGGCTATCATTAGTCTTTTTCCCCCTAAAACAAATCTGTTTGGATGTTTTATTTTTCTGCAAATGATTCTCATTGGCTATCAGTTTATTTGTAAGCTTTAAGATTTATTTTTAATGCTTTGTTTACACCAGGCATGGCACGCATGAATGAATTGCGCTGTTTGCGTGTAAATAGACATGTAAACATTTTGGATTTACTAGCTCCCTTCGCACATCAAATTTGCTTCATTAACACGTCAAATTCACTTTACAATAAATGCGGATTTGCGTCATGGACAGGGCTTTTGTATACATGGTGAATGTAGCTTCATTGCTAAATGGCTAACATGGATTTTATTGAGACAGTAGCTCTGCTTTGTGTACTTTAGGAAGACTGAAAAACAGTGTAGATTTGTTCGAGTTCACTAGATCCTTTCAGAGGTGCACCCAGCTAGAGCCGAGTTTGATAAACTGTTGTCTGGTGTCGGCAGAAGGATTTTCCCTCAGGACACTAACAACAGACACTATGTCATAATCACTCCCCTACAAGAGCAAGCTCATGATTGGTTTACGTGGCACAAATGTCTGCTAAAGTTTAGATTTCCCAACTCGAGCGATTCGCATGAATCACTCGTTAAATGCGAATCGTGCCACAGAATGTCTACTTGCGTCATTGCATTGACTTAACATGTCAATCACTCAAGCTTGATGCTTAATCCGCATTCGGTGTGAACGCAGCAAAAGTAATAAGGTTTCCCAGTTTCCCTGTACTGGGTTGTGGCTGGAAGGGCAGCAGTTGCGTAAAACATATGCTGTAAAAGTTGGCGGTTGACTAGGTGAAAGAAAAATGAATGATGAATAAATGTTATAGGATTTTTTCTCTTCGTAAAATAAGTCTGATATGTTGTCAGAGATTTCATATAAAACAATTCAAAATCAATGTTTTTTTCTATAAAAGGATTCTAATTGACCCTTCGCTAAGCCACACCCAAAAACCACCACCCACCAATCGTGGCTTAGAATCCGCAGCTACGCGCAGGAGGCCTGTCAAGCTTTTGAGTGGGAGAAACAGGCACTTGCAATCAACATACTTCACCCGCAGCTGTTTTTTAGTAATTTATAACCCTCATGTCCATGTCAGAGCCATACCTGTCAACACTTCCAATTTTCCCGGGAGTCTCCCGTTTTTCAGACCCATCTCCCGTATTGTTCTGTCTCCCGGAAAACTCCCGGAATTCCACCCCCAGCCCCACCCCATCTACCTTAGTGATTTCTGTTTCATGGTTGATTTCAAATAAATTGTTCCTCAATGAGATTATAATTATAATTTAGTGTTGGAGTCTACTATTCTTGTAGATATATGAACAATCATCAAAGCTTTATTTTCATCATTATTCTTTATAGTTATCATCATTGGTGTATACAGGTGATTTGCCTTGAATTTTGTATGTTTCAATAAGTGCTAATGTGTGAGCTGTTTCTACCTCCTGCTGTTACATGAATACACAAAAGTGCATTTGGAGCATTTTTACAGCAGACTTTAACCATTTTGCCATAATGAATATTTTGAAAGACGACAAATGCATGGTTTTACTCGACCGCCCTCATTTTGAGTGCCTTATTACTTTTGAGTCGGCCTTTGCCATACTGGTAAATGAGCAGGAAAATTCTGTATATCAGGTAATGCTGTACAAAACAAGAGACAAATCTGACATTGCATAATGAGGTTACAGCGGGACATATCTTATCTTGGCATGTGACACTTTGTTTGATTTTTTTCAGTGTTTTAATCAAGAACTGTATGCTAATTACGTAATTACTAAAAACATACACTAAACTGGGTGCTTGTATTTTTCTGAAAAAAAGAAAAACAATATGTTTTTTAAAGAAATATTGTATATTTATGTAAAATATCAGTTTTTTTGTTTGTTTTTTAGAGTGGTAACATTTGCCATTGGTTAAAAGAAGAAAATGAACAGCACAAACTGAAATGACCCTGTAATTCCATATCAAAATGTGCAATAAGATCTGGGCTATTCCGATCCATAAGTTCTCAGGTTTTTTTTTTTTTTTTTTTTTTTTAGTAATTCAGAAACACTTTTTGCAATCTTCGCATATACAGTAAGTGAAGTCTTGGATTCTTCCCAAAAATGAAAATTCCCTCATAAATTACTGTCCCTCATGTGGTTTTAAACCTTTAAGAGTTTCTTTCTTCGGTTGAACACAAAGAAAGAGATTTTGAAGAATGTTTTATTTGTGTTTATCAGAAGAATTAAATTAAAACAGGTTCCGAAGAAGTACAGTAATTAAATGATGGTAAAATTCTCACTTTTGGGTAAATATCCCTTTAAAACCTGTTCACATGAAGAGCAAAAACTTTATTAGTATTCGCAATAATGTTCTGTTTGTTGTAAATACATGCTGCAGTTTTCTGCCACTCTGAATGCTTGAGTCTTGATTCTGTTTTGCTCTTGGTGTGTTTATAACATCGTAATTTCATGCCATTTTTTTTTAACCCAGTGGCTAATTTGTATTAATTTGTATCGCATTTATACATTTTAAAACGGTTTGCTAGACTCATTTTGAAAACGCACCGCTATATACATTTCTGGTGAGCGCCAAATATGTCGCAGGAGCTACATTTTTTTAGTTTTTGTTTTCACGAATCCACCAGAGTGTATGATTTTTGAGATCTCAAATTTCTCTCGCGAGTGCAATTCGCGTCTGCCATTCTTGCGAAAATCCACCAGAGGCTGCTGTCGATTGGTTAGGATTGGACTAACCAATCGACTGACCAACCCTCCGTCTTTTCTAATCCTAACCAATAGTGTTTTCAAAAGCACCAATTGACCCGCTCACCCACTTCCCTAAACCTAACCGACAGTTTTAAATAGCAATCCAAAAAAAGGAAAGCCCTTGCCTGATTTCTACTACGTTTTCAGATTATACCACATTCTTACGCTGTTTTTGGCTTCTGTTTTTGTGTTTCTGGAATCATTATTAGCCCGTTGTTGAGGTCAACTCCTCTTTAAGTCTCAAGTTATGGAGACTTATGTCATGGTTAGCTAACTGGACAAACTGGTAACCGCAGCAAAGCCGTCTACATGGAGATAAGATGTCAACTGGTAAGCGCGAAAAGGAACGGCATCATACCACCACGTAGCATTCCTTTTAAAGATGAAATGCAGCCATATGTACTTCTGACTACATAATTCGCTATCTCCAGAAATTTATATAGGGCTACGTTTTCAGAATGCGCCTAAGTTAAAGACATTAAGGGGGTCAAACGCCGGATGCGCTACTCGTTGATGCGCCGCACCATGCTGCGCAGCAACATGCATTTTTGAATTCTAAACGTAGATTTCTATAAGAGTATGCAAGTCGGCGGCTGTCCACGGCACCTAGCTATGACTCAGAACACTGTTCATATTTGTGCCGCGTCATAGAGATTCATCTGAATATTTACATATTAAATAACATTCGAATATGCGCGTCTGGATTGCGATTGTTCCAACTGTCTTGCGGGCTATGTCACGGCACTGAGCGTGTGCATCTGGTGTGCGACCCCTTTAGGGGCGAGGGACATGTCTTTTTTTCAAAATCTTATGTTTTTAAATTAATGAAATTTTATGAATTCGTATGAATTAATAGTTTTTCTGAACAATACGTAAAAATAATTATATTTTCCAGTGAGATTGGGTTGGTTTACACACCATATTTAAGTATAAACGTAAAACGTTTGTTGCATTTTAGCAATTAATTTACAAGACTACAGCATTTTAGGGGCCTAAATCTGCATAACTTTGTAAACAGGTTTTAAAGTTTTTGAAAAATTATTTCTGTAAAACCTCTGTAAATCGCAAAATGTGATTTTGTAAAAAAAAAAAAAAGTGCACATATGTATTATGTATTTGGTCAAGACGTACTGTTTGAGCGAGTATTGACAAACTAAACAAAACTTGTGGACTACAGGACCGTATGTTTGCCGATGCATAGTGTTTCGTTATGAAGTGACATCGCCACCTACTGGCCGGGATGTATAATATATCATTTTTAGTTGTTTTCACAGATTCGTCTGAACAGGGATCATTTTGAGAAATAAAAATGTAATTAATTCAATAATACATTTTAGCAAATAGTGGTCGTAAAGCAAACAAACCCTTAGTGTTTTTATAGTTCATAAAGTAATTTAGAATCGTTCTTAATATCGTTCCTCATACAACAATCATCTTCCATACATTTTAAAGACTCAACATTGGCACTGTGTCGGATATAGTCATTGATATTTAATTGCAATCATATTATTAATTTATGGAATTTATGGTATTTTGGTACATTACTACAAAGTTTGTGCAATGCATCATGGAAAGTGTGTGGTTTTGAAATAAAGATGATTGTTTATTTGGTTGTACATTCTGCTTTTGGAAGTTCAGATGCCAAACGTATTTCTGTTTTTTGTAAAATATTCATCTGTAATATCTTAACCAAAGAATCAAATGTGAACCGCATCTGCCACAAAACCCAGTCTTGCCTTATTGTGTGCTACAGGTCTTCTGTGACATTTTAAAAGAAAAAAAAAATGTGTTACTGCGTGAGTGTGTGAGAGTGTGGATTTCTTTGTGAGAGAAAGAACAAAATAGAAATTAATTTTGAAATTTAACAAATTGTTTTGTGTATATTTTAAGAATGTTAAAGGAAAAGTTTTCTTGTCTGTTCTTTTTTCATCTTTATTTTTTTGCTTTGTTGGTTCCAATACCATTCTTGTCCTGGTTATTATTAAACAAGGGTTGTGACATTTACAGTGTTTCATGTATCTGCCAATAAAAAGTGACATTGGAGCCCTGGAAGCTAAAATCTTCAAATCTTTGAAATCTTTTGCTGTTTGCTATTGTCAATATCAAGGGTTTCTGAAATCTGTGTACAAATAATTTAACAACAGGAATCAATTATGTAATGTGAGGATAATATGATATTACAAATTCTTGTGCATAAAGAGTGTTACTTATTTTAAAATGATTTACTTAATTTACTTAATTTCATTCTCCTAAAAAAAAATTGTAAAAATGTCCTCATTTTAACTAATTAATACACATAAATGTACCCAACTGGTGATATTTCATTATAAATATTATTATTATTATTATTATTATTATTATTATTATTATTGTTAAAATTTTATTAGTGCATTTTTTTTATTAATTCTAGTAAAAAATATATAATTCTTGAATTTCTTTTTTTCTGCATTTCCCTGTACAATAATAATCCGTTAATTAGAAATTAGTTAATAAACAGTTAATTAACATGCTCCAAGCTGGGGAGCATTTCAGGGGTGTTTTTTTGTTTTGTTAATTTACTTATTCAAGTTTTTCTTTTTAAAGCACAAATTTTGTGATAATAATAATAATAATAATAATAACAATTATTATAATTTCTTATTTTAGTAGTAGTAGTTTTATAATGATCATTTTACAATTACAAATTTATAATAATTCATTCAATCATTCATTCATTCATTTTCTTTTCGGCTTAGTCCCTTTATTAATCATTCCGCCACAGCAGAATGAACCGCCAACTTATCCAGCATATTTTAACTATTATAATAGTTTCATGCAGCGGATACCCTTCTACCCGCAACCCATCACTGGGAAACATCCATACACACTCATTTACAAACATACACTTCGGACAAGTTAGCTTACCCAATTCACCTATACCAGATGTCTTTGGAGCACTCGGAGGAAACCCGGAAACCCTCTTATTCTTACAGTATATTCAAATAAAAATATTACTCCAGTCATTATAGTTTTTATTACTTTTACCATTAATAATAATAATAATATTAATACTACTACTACTAATAATAATAATAATAATAATAATAGTAATAGTAATAATAATAATTAAAATTAGAGTGATTTCTAAAGGATCATGTGGCTCTGAATACTGGAGTAATAAAGCTGACATTTTATCCTTAAAATCACTTAAATAAATTATAAAATTATAAACTACTTTTGAACAATTATTTTATAGTGCAATAACATTTCACAACTTTACAATTTGTACTGTATTTTTGATTAAATAAATGCGGCCTTGGTGAGCAGGAGAAGCTTATCTTAAAACATTACAAAATCCTACTGACCCCATAATTTTGACTAGATTGTGTCAAAGCCGCTTAACATAGAAGTTCTAGTAAATTGAAACTGTCACACAGAACTGTCACACAGTATATAACAAGACAACAAATAACAAGACAGCAGAGTAACAGTAACTGTTACTATTGTTACAGTAATAACAAGAGTAACAGTGGAATAAAACACTTCATAAATGTGAAACACCAACTCACTTGCCTGAGAATATACGGGTTGACTAGCCTACATTACCCAGAATGCGCGCTGGCTAGGTGTCCTGCGCATGGGCCCGTTTGTGCTGTGTAATGTTAGCTGATACAGTGGACAGTGGAGGTCATTTGACGAGCCGATGATGATGATTATTAATCAGTCAGTGAGAGAACACAATCGCGCGCTCACGACGGGAGCGAGTATCGAGCGCGCGTCCGCTGAGGTGCGCGCGGAGCGTCGATTTAAGTGGCAGGCCCGTGCAGGTATTTATTTACACGCCATAACATCTGCCTAAATCCTATTCTAGATATAACGTAGTGCGTGGAATTATACGAATACGTGTTGACTCTCAGTGTAAAGCATTTAAATGTACGAATAAAGAGTCACTGATGAGTTTGACGGTTGTGCGGATTAGTTCAAAGCTCCGCCTTAGATGCGCGCGCTCGCAAGTGTGTCCGTGTGTGTTTTCAATGGGCTTTAAAGCGCACTTAAATGACTGGCTCTTTCAGGAGCGGACTGAAGCGGCATCATGGCACCACAGCAGCCCGGCAACCTGCGCGTCTTCTCCCTCAACTGCTGGTGAGTTCCAAATACGCCTTTAAAACCTTTTGGCTTTAAAATAATGAGGAAAAAAAACATATGCCTTCACTTGTTTAGTGTGGTGGACACGTAACTCGCTGTGTTTATTTACTTAGTTAATTATGAATCGATTCATGTATATTGTATGAGTCTGTTGTACACGTCTAAGGTTTTAGAGAAGTTTATTAGATAAAATAGTATGTATAATCAAGGTATGTGCATTGGCAAACGAATATTTAGAGTTTGACTTCTCTTATGCAACATATTAAAGTATACTGAACTATATTGTAGTCATTTTAGCAGGACAAATACTGTAAATGAAACATGAATTAAATGTTTAGAAAATGTTTGCTGTTAAATTAATTCATTTTTATTAATCCAGGTTGTTTGTGAAAGATGTGTTTATTTGTGACATGTTTATTTAATGACATAATGTAGGTCCTTAACCCTCTAACTACCCCACCAAGAAAAACTGATTGCATTTCTTAACTTCTAATGCTGTTAACACACTCAATTAGGCATGGGCTGTTAGGTTTCTGATAGTATGAGAACCCTTGGATACCAAAAATACCACGGTTTCATGATATGACAGTATTGTGATTACTGCTTTAAATAAAGTTATTTTAAAATGGCTGGGTTAAAAAAAATCTCTATTAAACAATTTGTTTCATTTTGAGAAACATTTATAATATTTTCTAACACTAAACATGTCAGGCTAAATAGTTCAAAAAATTATTGACTTTTGCTCTCTTTACTAGTTTCAAAAACACAGATTTCTTTGCAACAAATAAAAAATACATTAAAAACCTTACATATACCTTGGGAACAATATAACAGAACGTTTTAGCGGTATTAAAACCTTGACTTTTTTAAACCGCGGTAAACCTTGGAACCGGTTATCATCCCATGCCTATACTCAATACTTTTTTTCCCCTTACACATACCATATCGAACATATAAAGGGTTTGTGGTAAAAGTACTGGAATTAATACGTGTACTGTGACAAATCAAAAAGTATGAAGTGTAAGACCAATTTATATAAAAAAATAAATAAAAATCTAAATAAATTATTTTTGAATACTAAATCACCTTTATTTTTTGAAGTATGCCATACAATATTTCAGACACTCATTTAACATGTTTTACAATAAAACCAAAATCGAGTGTAGTATTAAAACAGTATTGTGTTTGTTTGATTTTTTTATTTTTTTTTTGTAAACCAACCAAGTTGTGTAGTGTAAACCATTATTTAAAACAGTCATTTTTTAAATTGCTTTAACAGTCATTATTTAAAACAGTAAAAATATCGTCAACCATTTGGTAGAGCGAGCAATCAAATTTCATTGGTCCTTCAGTCATTTACAGAGTTAGAAAAAAAAATGTATTTCCACAAAAAAACAATACAACAAAACAACTTGTTAACATCATATTATCATATAAAATGTTTTCAAACATTCAAAATAAAATACTGTTGTTACAGTTCAGGGTTCAACGCTAAGGATTTTTTCTACTGGCCTGATCGGGTCAGTGGTTCAGATTTTTACTTGCCCTGCCAAAGTTTTCACTAGTGCCACCAAAAAAGTAGTTAATAGCTATTTTACATATTTTAAATAATGTGTCAAAAGCCAAACATTATCGTATACATACACTGTTTACTCAGCATAACTTTTTTTAAAACAACTGACAATTAAAAAAAAATTACAATTTTGATGTAACCAAATTTTTTAAAATATATAAATTTATTATATTATTATTAGCAAAAATGTGCACTTTAATTTTGACACCCACGGACATCATCACCAAATATAAATCAGAGAGGTAAGACTAACCTGGGCAAACGAGACATGTTCCAAAACAAACATCTTGCTTGTACTATTTGTGAGTAATTTATAAACATTCGCAGCCGAATTAAACTTTAGTGACAAGGCAGCACTGGCCCCATCGGGCTAGGAATCATCCTGTCTAATGTCCAGAGCGTTTTGCATGCTGGCCCTGGGCCAAAGGGCAGTCCTTATTGTTGAGCCCTGGTTATATTTGTTAAACAGCATTTAAAGAAAATGTAATTTGGTCAACAAAGTGAAAGATAACAAAAGATTCACTCTACCAACGTTTAAACAATGTTAGTGTGTGATTCAATGATCTAATTAAACATTTCAGCATTTTTTTTATGTTAAAATGCTGGAAATATATTTTAATTTTGGAAAAAAAAGTTGTCAGTAAGTATTTATAAAACTAATAACCCAAATATGTTACGGCCTGGAAACCTGGAAATTTTTTGTTTTAGTCAAAAATCCTCAAAGAATATTTTTTTTTTTAATCAACAGTAATTAGATTATATATTAATTTTATGTACTTATTACCCTTTTGTAGTGTTTGTTAACTTTAGCTGAGGTCAAGACCATCCCTCACCAGAGAGAGAGAGAGAGAGAGAGAGAGAGAGAGAGACCTCCCGACTTTTAATGAAGTGCAATTCCAGAAGATTGTATGTGTGGTTTCGTTGCTAACATAATTAGTATTTACAGTTTCCTTTTTAAGGTGCCCTTGTTACAGTGTAGCTAGTCATTTACCTACTGGTAGTACATAATATTATTAAATTCAATTCAATTCATGTTTAAATAGTGCTTTTTACAACGTAGATTGTGTCAAAGCAGCTTAACAATTCTAGTAAAGTCCAGATTTCAGAGTTGAAGTTTAGTTTAGTTCAGTGTGGTTAAAGTTTCCCGATGGTAGTTAACATGGTTTAAGTTTCCTTATGTACGTACTATAGGGTTATGGTTAGAATGCAGATTAAGTTAAGTGTTATTTGCATTGCATCCTGCATAATTCATTATAGTACTATAGTATTGGAATGTGTTACACAGGACACCTTAAAATAAAGTGTTATTCTATTTTCAAGTCCTTTAGAGACCTTTCTAGACATCACTACAGATCTCTGCATTTGACACATGTGATGTTAAGTCGTGTTTAGTCTGTGGGTATTAGCTGCTGTTCAGTCTCTGATGTGAGTGTGAAGGTGAAGCACATGAGTCTGCAGTGGTCACATGATGAGTGGTGTGGGCCTCCGCTCTGCACTGTCAGCACCAACATCCAGAACAACACACCAAACTCCAGCACAGACGTAATCTAGCGCACGGCTGAGACTGAAAATGTGGTTTTCGATACTTCCCCTGATTTAGACGACGCAGCAGAATATTAAAAGCATGCATGTGATGTCACATGAACTGAGGGATGATGAGGTCAGCACTGTAAAGCCGAACATTGAGATTTAATGAAATGACAGGACTTCGCCTCTCTTAAATATTTAAAAAGTCCATTGTACTTCGGGCGAAGCAGTGGCGCAGTAGGTAGTGCTGTCGCCCCACAGCAAGAAGGTTTTCCGGAGTCGCTGGTTCGAGCCTCGGCTCAGTTGACGTTTCTGTGTGGAGTTTGCATGTTCTCCCTGCATTCGCGTGGGTTTCCTCCGGGTGCTCCGGTTTCCCCCACAGTCCAAAGACATGCGGTACAGGTGAATAGGGTAGGCTAAATTGTTCGTAGTGTATGAGTGTATGTGTGAATGTTTCCCAGAGATGGGTTGCGGCTGGAAGGGCATCAGCTGTGTAAAAACTTTCTGAATATGTTGGCGGTTCATTCCGCTGTGGTGACCACGGATTAATAAAGTGACTAAGCCGACAAAAATGATTAAGGTCGTAATCAAACTTAACAGAAATCGAATGAAGGCATGTGGAGTATTCTGATTTTAGTGGCATTATTGAAGTGCTGTACACGCATGTAAACACCTTCATCAAACTATTACCATCATGGATTTTCACCCCAAACTTGCGACAGGATAGTCTATACACACACAGCTGTTTGACATCATTCTCTGCACTTACCGTGTTAGTGAAGGACCACAGACACACACGTTGTGAAATGCGGAGTTTTTTCCGCATACATCGTGTGGTATCAAATTCCATTAAAACAACACTCTTCCAGCAGTTCATACTCGCATTTAATATCTCGTTTGTCAAAGGGGGCAAAAAGGCCAAACTGTAGTTAAAATCGACAAGCTGAAAATAAAATGTGGTAGAGGATAAAAGGATTGTACTATTGTCTATATTCTTCAGGTCAGAGTGGGAGCAGCCATCGATCCTTATTGGCTGGAGATTTCTGCTCTCATTCACTTTTATAGATTTTTAGCCTAAAAAGAGCAATATTTAAAGGTGTAGTAGGTGATCTTCCACAATGCTAACAGCTTAGCATAAATCTCTGAGTCACAGTCCCTCCCCTGTCGTCCAAACTCGGTCCTGGAGGGCCGACGTCCTGCAAATTTTACCTCCAACTTGCTTCAACACACCTGCAAGGATATTTCTAGAATGGCTAGTAAGAGCTTGATTAGCTAGCCCAGGTGTTTCTGATTAGGGTTGGATTTAAACTTTGCAGGACACCGGCCCTCCAGGACCGAGTCTGGACATGCCTAGTCTAGAGCCACACCTCCTGAAACACGAGCACTGCAAAATAATCCTCTCTTATGTGTTAAAAGCGACTAGTGCTTGTCCGGCGGCGTGCAAGCCAAACTGACATGCCATTTCAGAGTAAATATTTAAAGTTGCATGGTAAACAATATAGGGAGAGACTAGGGAGAATATAGGTATTTACTTGTGTTTTGTTGTTAAACTAATTAAAATCTACATCATCGATGCTGTAAAAGGTCCCTTATGGAACTGAAAATAGTCATATCAATCTTTCACAGGAAGATTTTAGTGGCTGAACAACACTTCTGTGAAGATATAACCCATTTGTAACAACAACATTTAACGTTACATCAGCTTTATGTGAAGCTAAAACAGTTTTAAAACAGAACATGACCTGTCTAAGAGAAATCCCTCAGACATGGTGCCATCCTTTCTCCAGCGTGCAAAAGTAACTCCAATATTGATTCAGGTTTTTAAAAAGTTTTGATTCAGCAGGTTTGTACCTATCGTGCGCGCGTGCTCTCTCTCGTGAACGCGTGGCAGTCAGTGGAGATGCGTACAAACGGCTGCGCAGTTGTTCAAATCTGCATTTGCTGACAGACAGATTGGGCTACTTATCGGAATTATGAGAGATGTCGGTCCGACTCTATTTAATTGGATACCCAAAATATAAAAATACATATAAATACTGTACATTAAGATCATTTACTGTAATCATTACTATTAGACTGTGAAGAGACTTTTAACCAGAACAACAAAAAATGCTTCTGAAGACAATCACCTACTACACCTGTAACAGAACTATAGGCCAATAAATTAGACATCCTAAAACAATCACAGTGTACCAGAATAGATCTAGGGCCTTTCACAGACAAAAGTAAATAGTGGCGGTGAGGGGAGGGTTGTTTGGTATCGTGGACAAAAGTGAAGAGGGTTGGAGAGTCTCACGGATGGGCCTGGAAGACTCACATGGGGCGTGTGAGGAGGGGACCAGTAAAATGAGGTGCCGGATTACATTTCAGGAGGTTCCAGTACAACATTTCTTGTTCCGCCACAAATTAAGCCCTTTTTTTAATATAAAGGACCTATTATACAAAAATATCTTTACAAGAGGTGTAAACACTGTTGTGTGGTTACAGTTTGTGAGTATAACCTACTTCTAATGGTAAATGTTTTATTTTATTTTTATAATCACACTTTATAAAAACATAAAATGATAAAAATAGTTCACAGAAACACTTTGGTTGACATTCTCCCTTTGTACGTGTCATTAGATGGGGAAGGCAACACCCTTTAGTGACAATTTCTCCCACATTAGCATAGGTCATTAGTCTTTTTATTGAGTCTGCCACTATGCTGACACATAGGCATTTGTAGCTCCACCCTCTTTTGAAAAGAGGGCTAAAGTAGCACAATCTCGTTTGAATTGAATGGCCCGTTTCCACTGAGTGGTACAGTACGGTTCGGTACGCTTTTATGGTCGTTTCCACTGTTAAAGGGTACCTAAAAGTGAACCGTACCATACCATTTTTGGTCACCCTTTGCAAGGGGATTGGTTAATATCAGCTGTCAATCACTCAGTCAATGCCTTCTGCCTTCAGATGACAGGAGCTACAACCGCGAAGATGTGAAGCGCTGAAGATGAGAGAATGAAAATAACACGGACAGATTTTGTTTTAGAAGCCACCTACAGTTACTAATAATGGCACATCTTAAAAGTGATCATGTGCTGAATGTTAATACCTTATTTACACTTTTCCAAGAGTGGATAAAAGACTACCAGTGGCTTTAAGTCCGCTATAAAAATAACTAAAGCCATTCACTGTAAAATCTGTGGGACGGGGTTTTAATCCTTCATTTAATCCTAACGATGCTGTCAGCCGTGCAAGTGGCAGGTATATGTAAAACACAACTCATAAAAGACTGTTATTGCTATTAAGATGACATGCAAATAATAAGTTATATACCAATATAAATGTGAGGCGGGGCGAGGTGATGGATCGTGATGCCAGCTCAGCATCGTGAAGTTTATTGGCCATCAGCGATGGACGATGGCATCATTTATCGCCCCAACTCTAGTTTCCATAGATATTTGCAGTAATCTGAATTCATCAGGTTTTGCTGTGTGTTTACTGTAAATGTGGAGGACAGATAATAACTACATATGTCAAATGGGTGAAAGGCAGATAGAGAGACAATATTAAGTGTGTCTTTGTGTTTTTCAGGGGTATTCGTTTCCTCAGTAAGCTCTGTGCGCAGCGGTATGAGATGATTGGGGAGTTGCTGGGCCGAGAGCAGCACGACATCGCACTCTTGCAGGAAGTGGGTTACACTGTACACTTCTAACACTCTTATCCTCCACTGGCTTCAGGGACTCACTCAACTCTTAGCACTAGATTTTGCTTAAACGATGGACCTTTTTAAACAGACATTTTTAAACAAAAGAGTTGGGGTCAAGAAGATGCTCATCGAAGCTGCAACATTTCATTAAAAATACAGAAAAAAACAGTAACATTTAGAAATATTGTTTCAATTGATTTCCCATTTAAAATTGCTTTGAATTTTCTGCATCACTGCTTGACATTTTACATGATCCTTCAATAATCATTCTGAAATGATAATGTAAATATTATTTGAGAATATGTAAAATAGAATATATTAAATATACGTAATAAAATATATAAAATAGAGCATATAAAATTTATTTAAATATGTTTTTTTTTTTTTTTTGGTCAATATACAGTAAATCCAGAAAGTATTCATAGTGCTTGACTTTTTTCACATTGTTTATGTTACAGCCTTATTCCAAAATGGATTTAATTAATTAATTTCCTCAAAATTCTACACACAATACCCCATAATGACAATGTGAAAAAATATTTTTTTAAATTGTTATAAATTTATTAAAAATAATAAAGCTGAAAAATCACATGTACAAGTAAGATGTAAGATGCACAGCCTTTGTCGTGAAGCTCTAAATTGAGCTCATGTACATTCTGTGTCCTCTGATCATTCTTGAGATGTTTCAGCAGCTTAATTGGTGTCCACCTGTGGTAAATTCAGTTAATTGGACATGATCTGAAAAGGCATGCACCTGTCTAAATAAGGTCTTAGGGTTGACAGTGCATGTCAAAGCACAAACCAAGCATGAAGACAAAGGAATTGTCTGTAGACCTCCAAAACAGAATTGTCTCGAGGCACAAGGCTAGGGAAGGTTACAGAAAAAAATTCTGCTGCTCTGAATGTTCCAATGAGCACAGTGGCCTCCATCATCTGTAAGTGGATGTTTGAAACCAAAAGGACTCTTCCTAGAGCTGTCCGGCCATCTAAGCTGAGTGATCGGGGAGAAGGGCCTTAGTCAGGAAGGTGATCTATAACCTGATGCTCACTCTGTCTGAGCTCCAGCATTCTTCTGTGGAGAGAGGAGAACCTTGGAGAAGGACAACCATCTGTGCCGCAATCCACCAATCAGGCCTGTAGGGTAGAGTGGCCAGCTCATTGAGCAAGCTCATACATAACACACTCAAGAAAGTGAAATGAATGAGGCTTGTGAACTTAACATACAATTTATATCAAGTAATTTTAGCATGCCAGAGTCAAATTTACAAAATAAAATATTTTTTCCCCCAAAACAAAATTATGGCTAGTAAAAATGGCAAGTGGCTAGTAATGTTGGAAATGTACTAGCCACAGTGGCTGGTGAATAAATGAAATGGTCAAGCCATGAAAATAATAATATAATATAATATAATATAATATAATATAATATAATATAATATAATATAATATAATATAATATAATATAGTATAGTGTAGTATAATATAATATAATAAGTTATAATATAATAAGTTATAATATAATATAATAAATTATAATAAATTATAATATAATATAATATATTATAATATAACATAATATAATATAGTATAATATAATATAATAAATTATAATATAATATAATATAATATAATATAATATATTATAATATAATATAGTATAATATAATATAATATAATATAATATAATATAATATAATAAGTTATAATATAATGTAATATAATAAATTTTAATATAATATAATATAATATAATATAATATAATATAATATAATATAATATAATATAATATAATATAATATAATAAAAATAGTTAGGGAGTTTAAAAATTATACTAGCTCTTGAAATGTCATGGAAGTTAAAGCAATCTTTAATTTGTTTATATTATATTTATGCTGAGTTCCAAAACATTGTATTGCATTGTATTCACATGTAGCTTTTTTAATAACTAAATGTTATTATAAATTGACTTGGCATGCACATAAACCTACTTTTTCTGATCTGTTTATATTTTGACCTTGATGTAGGTGTGGAGTGAAAGAGATTTCCTGTTCCTGAAGAGAAAGCTCTCCTGCTCTCATCCTTACACACACTATTTCAAGAGGTTAGTTCAGCTCGCCGGGGCGGGAGGGACTTTGAATGTTGCTTTGTACTTCAAAGCTTTCGGGATTTTGAAAGAGAGACTTTGAAACCTTCTGATCAGCGATCAAGTGGCTGGACGCGCTAAACATTCCTGAGCTCGTGCAGAGAGTGAGATTCATGGAGAAAAGGCTAATAAAATCCCTTCTTAAAGGGCCAGTTCACCCAATATTAAACTTCCTTTTTTGTATGAGTCTGCAGGGTCTTAAAAAGTATTAAAAAGTTAATTTAGAGAAATGTAAGACCCTTAAAATGTATTTAAGAGTCTTAAATGCTATTTTACAAGATATTAATTATGCTAAAGATTGCCTAAATTTAATCTGCGAATATCCGGACGCTGTGTAGAGTATACAAATCGATAAAATCTTGCTAGATTTGACATCACGCTGCTTTGTTTGCTACAGTAATCAAGGGAACACTGTTATTCCTGTTGTTCTAGGTGCCACCTGCTGCATCAGCATTTTTATTCAGTATATGAATAACGTTTTAGTTTAGAATTAGCTCCTTACAATCAATATTTAGTAAATACACTGTTAAAATGTCACCAATATTACAGAATAAAACCTAAATTGGCAATGATAAGTTCTTAAAATGTATGGAAAGATTTTTAAGGTCTTAAAAGGTATTAGTTTTCACTGTCTGAATAATGTATTTACTTTAAATTCTGATCTGCATACCTATCTCAAGCATTGTTTTAGTAAAAACACAAAATAATACATTTAGACATTTCCAGAAGAAGGAAACTTAAGTTGATAATGAAAATTCACATGACAATAATAATGTTTTGCTAAGTTTGGTTATAAAACACACAGATGTGTCCTCATCACTATCTGCATTGATTGTGTGGAAAAGAGCAGGTTGGACATTTTTCAAAAGCTCTCTTTTCGTGTTTCATGCAGGATATAGTGTCTGCAATGTGATTTTATTTTGTATTGTATTATTTTTAAGTATTAATCTTCCTGGACTCACATTTTTTGTGAGTATGAGTCTGCAGGGTCTTACAAAGTATTAAAAAGTCAATTTAGAGAAATGTGAGGCCCTTAAAAAGTATTTAGAAATCTTAAATGCTTTTTTACAAGATATTAATTATGCTAAAGATTGCCTGAATTTAATCTGTGAATATCTGGACGCTGTCTAGTTTATGCAAATCGATAAAATCTTGCTAGATTTGACATCACGCTGCTTTGTTTGCTACAGTAACCAGGGGAACACTGTTATTCCTGTTGTTTTAGATGTCACCTGATGCATCAGCATTTTTATTCAGTATATGAATAACGTTTTAGTTTAGAATTAGCTCCTTACAATCAATATTTAGTAAATACACTGTTAAAATGTCACCAATATTACAGAATAAAACCTAAATTGGCAATGATAAGTTCTTAAAATGTATGGAAAGATTTTTAAGGTCTTAAAAGGTATTAGTTTTCACTGTCTGAATAATGTATTTACTTTAAATTCTGATCTGCATACCTATCTCAAGCATTGTTTTAGTAAAAACACAAAATAATACATTTAGACATTTCCAGAAGAAGGAAACTTAAGTAGATAATGAACAACCACATGACACTAATAATTTGGTGCTTAGTTTGGTTATAAAACACACAGATGTGTCCTCATCACTATCTGCATTGATTGTGTGGAAAAGAGCAGATTGGACATTTTTCAAAAGCTCTCTTTAAGTGTTTCATGCAGGATATAGTGTCTGCAATGTGATTTTATTTTGTATTGTATTATTTTTTAGTATTAAACTTCTTGGACTCACATTTTTTGTGAGTATGAGTCTGCAGGGTCTTAAAACGTATTAAAGTCAATTTAGAGAAATGTGAGGCCCTAAAAAAGTATTTAAAAATCTTAAATGCTTTTTTACAAGATATTAATTATGCTAAAGATTGCCTGAATTTAATCTGTGAATATCTGGACGCTGTTGACATCATGCTGCTTTGTTTGCTACAGTAATCAAGGGAACACTGTTATTCCTGTTGTTTTAGATGTCACCTGATGCATCAGCATTTTTATTCAGTATATGAATAATGTTTTAGTTTAGAATTAGCTCCTTACAATCAATATTTAGTAAATACACTGTTAAAATGTCACCAATATTACAGAATAAAACCTAAATTGGCAATGATAAGTTCTTAAAATGTATGGAAAGATTTTTAAGGTCTTAAAAGGTATTAGTTTTCACTGTCTGAATAATGTATTTACTTTAAATTCTGATCTGCATACCTATCTCAAGCATTGTTTTAGTAAAAACACAAAATAATACATTTAGACATTTCCAGAAGAAGGAAACTTAAGTTGATAATGAAAATTCACATGACAATAATAATGTTTTGCTAAGTTTGGTTATAAAACACACAGATGTGTCCTCATCACTATCTGCATTGATTGTGTGGAAAAGAGCAGGTTGGACATTTTTCAAAAGCTCTCTTTTCGTGTTTCATGCAGGATATAGTGTCTGCAATGTGATTTTATTTTGTATTGTATTATTTTTGAGTATTAATCTTCCTGGACTCACATTTTTTGTGAGTATGAGTCTGCAGGGTCTTACAAAGTATTAAAAAGTCAATTTAGAAAAATGTGAGGCCCTTAAAAAGTATTTAGAAATCTTAAATGCTTTTTTACAAGATATTAATTATGCTAAAGATTGCCTGAATTTAATCTGTGAATATCTGGACGCTGTCTAGTTTATGCAAATCGATAAAATCTTGCTAGATTTGACATCACGCTGCTTTGTTTGCTACAGTAACCAGGGGAACACTGTTATTCCTGTTGTTTTAGGTGCCACCTGCTGCATCAGCATTTTTATTCAGTATATGAATAATGTTTTAGTTTAGAATAAGCTTCTTACAATCAGTATTTAGTAAATACACTGTTAAAATGTCACCAATATTACAGAATAACACCTAAATTGGCAATGATAAGTTCTTAAAATGTATGGAAAGATTTTTAAGGTCTTAAAAGGTATTCATTTTCACTGTCTGATTTCTGTATATACTTCGAATTCTGATCTGCATACGTATCTCAAGCATTTTTTTAATGTATAAAAACACAAAAAGAATACATTTAGACATTTTCAGAAGATTGAAACTTAAGTTGATTATGGAAAAACCACATGACACTAATAATGTTGTGCTAAGTTTGGTTATAAAACACACAGATGTGTCCTCATCACTATCTGCATTGATTGTTAGGAAAAGAGCAGGTTGGACATTCTTCAAAAGTTCTCTTTGCGTGTTTCATGAAGGATATAATGTCTGCAATGTGATTTTTATTTGTGGGTGCACTATCCCTTTAAGGAGTTGAAAGTCTTCTTATTGATTATTCCATCATATACAGAGTATCTTCAGTCGACCTTTATGTTTTATCCTTATCATGATGAGACAAGAAAAAGCACTGTTCTGAAGGCATACAATCAATAAAGCTGATTTAGCAGAACTTGCAATCAACTTATCTCAGAAGCAAAACGAATGTGTCTACTGTTAATACTGGAAAACTAGATGCTTACAAAACCATATAGTAAATGATAAGCTTTCAACCTTTAAACCATGTTTGCCAGCACTCAATTTTGGAGATTTACACTTACCTAACTTTAAATAGCAACAGTTCCTGGCTCCGTTAAGCTACAAACACAAATTAGAAGGCAGTTCCCTGCCGAAACACGTAGGTTTAGCCATTTGAATAAAGGCTTTTTTAATTTTCACATTTCTGAGTGCCTTGGACTGATTTCTGTTGATGTTTGAGAAAACCGTTTGAGGAAACTTGCTACATTGTTGAAGTAATGAGGTATTTAATTAACTCATTACCTTCAGTACTGAGTTAAAAACTCTTTTCAAATAAGTAAATTAACTTTCAGTAAATTTTAAGTTAACTACACTCATTTCATTTGAGAAAGTTGACTGTTGGGATTTACAATACATAAATAATTCAGTGCTTTCCCAGAGATGGGTTGCGGCTTGAAGGCCATCCACTACGTAAAAACTTGCTGGGTAAGTTGGTGGTTCATTCTACTGTGGCGACCCCAGATTAATAAAGGGACTAAGCCGAAGAGAAAATGAATGAATGAATGAATGAATAAAATAATTCAGTGCACCTACAGCTCAACCTGGATTAAAAAAACAGAAACAGCATGTACTGTATGCATATATTTATAACTTCATTATTGTCTGGTTTGACTTTTGATTCAGATAGAGAAAAGAAGCTTTGAGTTGGTCAACTTGAACAAACCACTAACCCCAGATGCCACTAAAAGGATGTTCATTCCTTTAAATATAACCATAAGGAAAACTTACACAAACTATAGACTACTACAGCAACTAATAGTACAGGTTTCGGTTTGGTTGTTTGGCTTATTAAATGCTCTTTAAAGCAGAATGATTTTTGAATAGCTAATAAAGCTTTTACTCAATGTTTGGCCCCAGTCAATAATCTCTTATCAGCCTCACTGAACAGCCTTGGTATTGAAACATCTTAGCCACCACAAAACCGCCACCAATGAGATCCTGCCTGCTCTACATGTAATTTGTAGCAGCACTCCCATTCCTGATTCAGTTGAACTCTAATCTACTATATATATATATATATATATATATATATATATATATTAGTGGAATGTCCACAGTAAGGGATGCTACAGTGTATTATGCATGTTCTTGTCTGTAAACAGTGTGTGTTGTGCTTTCAGTGGGGTCATTGGCAGTGGTCTTGCTGTGTTTTCCAAACACAGAATCCAGGATGCTCTGCTTTACCAGTACTCTCTCAATGGATATCCATATATGGTCAGTTACCTCTATCTATCTATCTATCTATCTATCTATCTATCTATCTATCTATCTATCTATCTATCTATCTATCTATCTATCTATCTATCTATCTATCTCTCTCTCTCTCTCTCTCTCTCTCTCTCTCTCTCTCTCTCTCTCTCTCTCTCTCTCTCTCTCTCTCTCTCTCTCTCTCTCTCTCTCTCTCTCTCTCTGTCTCTCTGTCTCTCTGTCTGTCTGTCTGTCTGTCTGTCTGTCTGTCTGTCTGTCCGTCTAGTAATGAAATGAGGACTATTAGTTTTATATGGAGTGACTATTCAGCATTCACAAGTTTTGTTAATTTAGACTGACATGACATAAGCAAATGATATTGTTATAAATAGCAGAGAGTTGTATGAAAGCAATTGATGCATGTCCAAAAGCATTTGCAATTTGTTATATCTCGTTAGCAAGGTTTTGGACGGCAGGGGAGGGTCGTAAAATGTCTAAGCTATTATGCTAATGCTAGCATTTTGGCAGATCACCTACTGCACCTTTCAGCTAGCTGTATTAATGAAAAATGTAAACATTAATATATGTCAAAATAAATGAAATTGCAATGCAGTTTAGTATTTAGAAAACATAACGATATAAAGTGTTACTTTTGCAGTCATTTTAAAGAAATCATTGGTGTAATTTTACAATGAACATAGGGTAACCAGATTCAGTGTAGGTAGTTAATATGTGCTTTGTTTCTTATAACTGATGTTAAAGGGATACATATTTCTTCCACGATTGACAACAAGTAAATTAGTTGTGTGTGTTCTGTATGTGTGTGTGTGTTCATTTCAGCTAAGCCATGGCGACTGGTTTGGAGGTAAAGCAGCTGGACTGGTCATTGTAGAGGTTTTTGGGTTAAAGGCACACGTCTACGTTACTCACGTAAGTGCGATCTGGCTTCAATAGCTGTTCTTCATGTTCACTTGTGTTTATTTATGAGTAACTGGAGACGACTCGCCTTTAGTAATGATATGTTTTCCTCTCAGTTACATGCCGAGTACTCCAGGGCTCAAGATGGATACCTGCCTCACAGAATAGTGCAGTCGTGGGAACTGCAGCAGTTTGTGCGGTAAGACGAAACATGTTTTTGTAACTGGGCTCAGGTGAAAGGCTTATTGTTTTATTTTGGCTAGTATAAAAGCAGTTTTTAATTTTTTCTAAAACATTTCAGGGACAAAATTATTAGCCCCTTTAAGCTATGTATTTTTTTTGATAGTCTACAGAACAAGCCATCGTTATACAATAACTTGCCTAATTACCCTAACCTGCCTAATAAACCGAATTAACCTAGTTAAGCCTTTAAATGTCACTTTAAGCTGTATAGAAGTGTCTTGAAAAATATCTAGTCAAATATTATTTACTGTCATCATGGCATCAGTTATTAGAAATAAATCAGTTATTAGAAATAAGTTATTAAAACTATTATGTTTAGAAATGTGTTAAAAAAATCTCCCCGTTAAACAGAAATTGGGGAACAAAATAAACAGGGCGGCTAATAATTCAGGGGGACTAATATTTCTGACTTCAATTGTACATGGAGTAAACAAAAACAAAGACTGTGTATTCATGCAAGGCTACCCAGAGTGCATCGTTGAGTTTTTTCTTTTCTTTTTTTTTTATTCAAAGAATTTTTTCCAAAAGATGTGTCAAAATAAGTTACCAAAAATAACTCTGCTAGCTGAAACACAGAAAAAGTTATGGCCACATAAAGACTCAAAATCACCCCAGAGTGGATGAAAACATCCCCAACACCACATAATGGTTAAAACCATAGACTGTAAAATATATAGATGTAGTGTCCGTGATGTCACCCATATGTTTCTGAAGAGCGCAAAAGAAGCCACAAGTAGGCGCGGCCAACCGTCGCCATTTTGTCCGCGCGTCATCACACCCACAGCGGGATACCAAACAAGGGCAAAGAGGCTACAGACACCTGCTGGCATTTAGCTTGGACCTGGTTTAGACACACTTTACTTTGGGAGAACGCTTAATACTTTATTACCTGTGACTCATTTGTGTTCTGACCACATGTGCTTGGTTGTACACTGTCAATAAAGTGTTTAGGCATTTAAAAACACTGTAGTAATACACAGAGCCACTAAGTATTGTTCTTATGACGTTTTTCAACAGGAGGAAAACGCAAATTACTTCCAAACACTTCAGACACAGTCTGTGTTAGTAAATGTAAGACTATTGATGAAATCCAGCATAACACTGTGTGACAACGCTTCAAACGACTAGAGCCTACAGCTAATCAATCTGTCAGATTCTGGAGTGCATTACAGCTCTAAATATAAATATAAATGATAAATGATCTCAAATAAAACAAATTCATTAATAGAGATGGTTTACAAGTATATAACTTTACTCACATGGGAAACGGAGGCCACGTGAATGGTTTGTGAGCACAATTAAGTGCACACAGCATGCCATATCATCTGATAATTGTAGGAAACAAGTCCAAAAGGCAGTTGACTCTGTAAAGCCACATAAAACAACACAGAAATAGGATGAATATGCCAAGTTCAGTGGCTAATCTGCGGGATTCAGCTGAGGTGAAGTGACGGCGACCAGCAAGACCTAGCTGTCACTCAAGTGGCCACGCCCTTAATTATGCAACACGCCCTTAATTATGCAAACTTAATATAAAGGCAACAGATAAGTTATAAAAAATTTACCCCCCTCACAGTTGTCATGAAGGGTAATATTAGCTGTATGAACCAAAATCTTTTTTGTACCATGCTGTAAACACCCTTTTTTCTGCTGTAAAGTTGGCCATTCTAACAGTGGGCTCAATTGAAATTTGCTCTATTATGGAGCCAGGAGCGGCCAGGACCAGCGGAATTTCGATGAATTGCAGTTTTAGTTACTTCCGTATTGGCTTCCAGAGGGAGAGCGGGAGGTTGCCGCTTGGTTAAAACTAGTATAAATACATTTTATCACAGCTTTGTTCGCTCATATTTACCAAGTATGCCAGTGTTAGTTGAGGGCACTGTAGTTTTCATAAACTCCCCCTGTATGTCCTCTTCAGCCACACATCCCATGGAGCAGATCTGGTGATTTTGGGAGGGGATCTAAACATGCACCCTCAGGACCTTGGAAACCGTCTTCTCAGGTCCCACACTGGACTCAGAGACTGCTATACTGAAACAGATAAGTTTGATGTGGGCTCACTTCTTTTATATGCATAAAATATATGTTTTGGGTAACACTTTACAATAAGGTTCATTAGTTAATGCATTTACTGACATGAACTAATCATAAACAGCACTTGTACAGCATTTATTAATCATAATTGAACATTTACTAATGCATTATTAACATTTAAGTCCATGCTTGTTAACATTAGTTAATGCACCATGAGTTAACATGAACTAACAACGAACAACTGTATTTTCATTAACTAACGTTAACTAATATGAACAAATACTGTAGTAAATGTATTGTTCATTGTTTGTTCATGTTAGTAAATGCATTAATTAACATTAACTAATACCTTATTGTAAAGTGTGACCATGTTTTGTTTTGTTTTTTACACCGTGACTTCATTTATAAACTTAAGTCATTGTTGCTCTTGGCAGGGCTGTGAAGATGGCCACACACTAATAGCAAACAATCACTTCACAAAGAAGCAGGATCTCATTCCTTTTGAGAAGGGCATCAGGATTGACTATATTCTCATCAAGGTAAACACATTCTCCAAAGAGGCAAAGGAGACAGTGGCCAACAACACAAGTTATCCTGAGGCACTTTTTTTTTTAAATCACACTTTTATTTATGCCGTGTTGATGTGCACACACATTGGTGGGTTTTATTTAGTCAGGAGATGTTAAATGTCAACAATAAATGCAAGTAAATATTGTCTTGTGTGTGCACGCCTTTACATTTGCTTAGCAGATGCTTTTATCCAAAGAAAGGTTAAAAGAAGAACTTCAAATCATCAGATTTTTGCTGTAAATAAATACTAGAACAAATTTAAGTTACCAAGAATAAGGAGAGTAGAGAGCGGTGGTTTATTAAGCCCACTCACCTGTGGAGCAGGCTCAGAAATGCACAATGTTTTTCAGAAACAAGATGTTTTGATAAGCTTGTGTCCTACAGGTGGTTTGAAACCATTTGGCTTTTTACAAATTAATCTAATAAATAAATAGTGGAAGTCATAGGAACTTGATATCCTCCACTGCTTGAAATGATTTCAGTAATCCTAAAATTGTCAGGATTCTGCCACTCTGGTCTTGTAAATTCTTGTTTTGGTGGCGGAGCTCGGACACTAGTTCTGTGTTTCTGTGCGCGCGTGTCTCTTGTACTCGTGTTTGTTTTCGTCTGTCTGCAGCGTGTTGTTTTAATCCCAGCGTCTCAGTCTAGTTGGTTTCGGTTTTGGTCGGCGCTGGGATGAAACATGCACGCTGCGCGTGTGAGTGCATGGTGAGTGTTTTCATTCATCGTGTACTCGTGTCTTGCGTTCAGTCTTCTGTTGGTGTTGTGTTTAGCACGTGGTGCGTGTTTACATGCACCGGATGCTTGTGTTGTTATGAACACGCGGTTAATGAGTTCTCATTGGCTGCGTGTTCTAGTCTTGTTTTATGTGAGCGCATGGCTTGTGTTGTCTCTCTGTGTCATGCGCTCTCCCGCCTATTGTCTAGTCCCACCCTCCTTGTTAACTCATTATTAGTTTCTCATGTGTTTGTGTCAATTTACTTCTGCTTTATAATCCCCTCATGTCTGCAGTCCTGTGCCAGTTCGTTGTCTACACTCCCCCTGTGTTCCTGCTCCAGTCTTGTCTTGCCAACCCAACCCAGCCCAGCCAAGTTTGTTTGTGTGTTTTGTTAATGTTTTCCCCCTCGGCGTAGTTTTGTTTTGTCGTTTATTTTTATTTTATTATTAATAAATGCCCATTATTTGCTGCACCTGAGTCCTCGCTCCTTTCCCTAACCTTGACCGTGACAGAAATAATTTAATAATTATCCTGAAATGATTTCTACAAGGGTTTTCTTATGGCCCATTTCCACTGAGTGGTACGGTACGGTTTGGTATGCTTTTATGGCCGTTTCTACTGTCAAAAGGCGTACCGAACCGTACCGTAAAACTTTTTCAGGACCCTTTTTCCAAAGAAGGTAGGATGACACTGGAGTCTCAGGCAGGCAACAATGCAGTGGTGATAAACTGTCATTGGTGGCTTCCTCACGCCTTTCACTCAATAATAAAATGTTAATAATAATAAACACTAGCAACCTAATTTTGTACAGTTTTAATGATTGAAAGTTGTTTGTAATGCTTAATGCTATTTGTAGGGGAGACCATTCAAACTGCTGTGGTGGTTTCCATTGTTTTTTTGTTTTTTTCATGCTGTTCTTTCCAACACATCACTCAGTGTTTATCTTGTGCAGGGCTCTCAGAGAGTGAGCGTGAAATGTGAGTCTCTGTCCACCACCAAGGGTTCAGTGTCTGATAAACCCTTTCCATATTCTGACCATGAAGCTCTGATGGCCGATCTGAACCTGCTGAGCTCACAGGACTGCACTGATGGTGAGCAGACTCTGATATCAATATCCCATAACTGCACATAACAAAGAAAACTCTGCTTATGTGTCTCTGCTGACAGCTCTTTAAAGCTGTTCATGTAAGATATTAAACTGGACAGTTTGAATTGTACAATTTAGATACTTCCCAGTTATAATCATAGTTGCATTTAGTTAGGATTAATATTATTATGTACAATATGAATTGCATACATTTGTGTGATTTTTCTGCACAGCATTGGGTTGGACTGGGCAATTAATTGAAAAGTAATCAAAATCGACATTTAGAACTTAGAATCGATCAAATTTTTACTGGACGATTTTTTTCAATTGCTTTCCTTACCAACATGATTTATACTTCTGCTACTTTTCAGCCACATCTAATCTCTGGTCAAGTCGGATGCTAGACCCATTCTTGAGCCTAACTTTGTACTACATTTAGAAGAGATACTTTTACCTTTAAAGGGTCACGAAACACCAAAACACATTTTTTTGAGCTGTTAACGGTCGTATATGTGTCCCACACTGCTAAAAACACTATTAGGACACATACAGTTGAAGTCAGAATTATTAGCCCCCTAAATTATTACACCACTTGTTTTTTTTTTTCCCTAATTTCTGTTTAACGGAGAGAAGATTTTTTTTCAACACATTTCTAAACATAATAATTTTAATAACTAATTTCTAATAACTGATTTATTTTATCTTTACCATGATGACAGTAAATAATATTTGACTTGATATTTTTCAAGACATTTCTATACAGCTTAAAGTGACATTTAAAGGCTTATCTAGGTTAATTGAGTTAACTAGGCAGGTTAGGGGAATTAGGCAAGTTATTGTATAATGATGGTTTGTTCTGTAGATTATCAAGAAAAAATATAGCTTAAAGGGGCTAATAATTTTGTCCCTAAAATGGTTCATAAAAAAAATAAATAAATCTTTTATTCTAGCCAAAATAAAACAAAAGAGACTTTCTCGAGAAGAAAAAATATTATCAGACATACTGTGAAAATGTCCTTGCTCTGTTAAACATCATTTGGAAAATATTCTAAAAAGAAAAAAAAATTGAAGGGGGCTAATAATTCTGACTTTAACTGTATATTTCACTAAAAAGTGACAATTGATTGTTTTTGCGTTATTTCGAGCAAATTCTACTTCCGGTTTGAAACGAAGCAGTACTCTTAATTTCTAAGTTACTTAGTTTTATGTTAATATTACTACAATATTATGGACTGAAAGATCTGCTGTAAATGCTGCTGTAAATGCAGTGTAAACGTGAACACTGCAAACGAACTATTGCAGATCGTCGTGTTTAGTTTTTGCCACAGTTTGTGACAGGATAGTCTACACACAAACGGCTATCGGACCTACCAAGTGCATCTGAGTTACCGAGAAATGGGCGACTATCTACTTCACCACCGCGTCACCCTGTTGAACATTTTGAAGAATGTTATAAATGGATAACCACCGACTTCCACAGCAGGAAAAACAAATACTATGGAAGTGAATTAACAAACAGGACATATTGAAAGTCTGTAATGACTATACAAAGTTTAGCATTTTAAGCAACAGTAGACCTACAGTACACATAGGTCTGTATTATTATTGTTGTTTTACCATATGTTTGAGAATTAGCAATAATAATAGGCTAATCATATTAACCTTTATTTTACATTTACATAATCGTGATCTTGATTTAAAGCAAAAGAAATCGTGATTCACATTTTTGCCAGAATCGTGCAGCCCTATTCTTGATTTTTGGGGGGAAAACTTAATTGTTTTTATGTCCTATTCACCAATTTGGAAAAAAAAATAAGTTAAATTAATTCCTTTATGTTATCCCAACACAAAATAATTATGTGCAACCCAGCATTATTTACAATGTGTATTTAAAAACAAAACAAATCAGTATGTTGTAATTTCAGTCTAATTAAAAGATAAGCAAGTTTGACTGTTATTTCTCTTTCTGTTTTTCCTCCAGCACCGCCTGCATCAGATCAAATGGATGTAGTCTCGGAGGCGCGTGCGGTGGTGAAGGAAGGCCTGGGTAAAACCGAGGCGCTGCGGGATCGATCTCTGCACCTGATGTTTGCTGGTCTACTTCTTCTACTGCTGGTCTTGTGCTCCAGCAGCTTCTTCTCCTTCAGCGCTGCAGGGTTTCTGGGAGCCGTGTGTGTGTTTATACTGCTGTCTGGGGCTCTGCTGTACATGCTCTTCACGACACACATCAAAGTCCTGAAAGAGACTGAAGACCAGATGATGCTCCGCTCGCAAAACCTCCAGACCAAACTGACTGGATGCAGAGTCTCTGGATCTTCATCTTCTTTTCACGCTTCTCCAGAAATCCAACCGTCGAGTCCTTTCAAACGGGAGGAATAAGGTTGACCGTATAGTAAGTGCTGGTCCAGGATCAGGTTACTGGTTTTCAGTGTTACATGGTAAAGTGCAACAGTCGGTTCCGGAAGTAAAAACTCATTGGTTTTCTCCGTAGGGAAAGGGATAAGCTTTAAATACAGGTCTAGAGCTTTTTAAGTCATCTGTTCATTATTTTAATGTATATTTTTAAGTATTATTATTAAAACTGTAAAAATTTATGGTGAAAAAGCAACATTATCCAGCATGCTGTAGAGAAAATGACAACAATCAGTTGTATATTAAAGAATATTATAGGGATAGTTCACCCAAAAATGACAATTTACTCACTTCTTTAGTGGTCGCAACCTTTTATGATAATATTTATTATAATGAACACAAAAGAAAGAACTGTCACTTTAAGAGGTCATTTGAAAACTTCTATTTGAAATGTCTCTCTGAATCTATTTATACTGTATATATACACACGCACTCAGCGGCCACTTTATTAGGTACACCTGTCCAACTGCTTGTTAACTCAAATTTCTAATCAGCCAATCTCATGGCAGCAACTCATGGTCAAAATGATCTTCTGCAGTTCAAACCGCACATTAGAATGGGGAAGAAAGGTGATTTAAGTGACTGGGCATGGTGCCAGATGGGCTGATCTGAGTATTTCAGAAACTGCTGATCTACTGGGATTTTCATGCACAATCATCGCTAGGGTTTACAGAGAATGGTCTAAAAAAGAGAAAATATCCAGTGAGTTGCAGTTCTGTGGGTGCAAATGCCTTGATGATGTCAAAGGTCAGAAGAGAATGGTCAGACTGGTTCTGATAACCACTCGTTACAATATGCAGACGAGCATCTCAGAATGCTCAAAACCTTGAGGCAGATGGGCTACAGCAGCGGAAGACCACACCGGGTTTCACTCCTGTCAGCTAAAAACATAAAACTGAAGCTACAATTCGCACAGGCTCACCAAAATTGGACAATAGAAAATTGGAAAAACATTGCCTGGCCTGATGAGTCTCGATTTCTGCTGCGACTTTTTGATGGTAGGGTCAGTATTTGGGGATGTAATGGTGTGAGGGATGTTTTATTGGCACACTTTGAGCCCATTATTACCAAGTGAGCAACACCAAGCCTACCTGAGTATTGTTGCTCACCGTGTCCATTCCTTTATGACCACAGTGTGCCCATCTTCTGATGGCTACCTCCAGTAGGATAACGCGCCATGTCATAAAGTGCGAATCATCTCAGACTGGTCACTTGAACATGACAGTGAGTTCACTCTACTCAAATGGTCTCCACAGCCACCAGATCTCAATCCAATAGAGCACCTTTGGGATGTGGTGGATCGGGAGATTCGCATCATGGATGTGCAGCAACAAATCTGCAGCAACTGCGTGATGTTTTCATGTCAATAGGGACCAACATCTCTGAGGAATATTTCCAGTACCTTATTGATTCTATGCCACAAAGGATTAAGGCAGTTCTGAAGGCAAAAAAGGGGTCCAACCCGGTACTAGTAAGGTGTACCTAATAAAGTTATAATAATCTTTTTTATTTTTGTACTCATGACATTTCTTCAACATTTTAGATGAAAAATAAATGTTGTTTAGATGTTATATCCAGAAAATAACAGACCTTTTAGACCTCTTTAATTAATTAGATTTTTTTTTTTAGAAAACACAATTCCACATATATATATATATATATATATATATATATATATAATATATATATATATATATATATATATTATTAGAAATTATTATGACCAATTGTTATTTTTAAATGCGTTTTTACTCTGAAGAAATGTTATTAAACCTTTTAAAGATAAAAAAAAATACTTAAAAATAATTTTACTCCAATCTATACCTTTTTTCAAAAATGTTTAAATGAATTGTTTTATCAGCCTCTATCATTTTAGTTTGATTGTTCTTCGCAATGCTTCATGGTATTGTCATTATTTTTTATTTAAGCTAAATATTATGTTTGTCTTTGGTCTGATTTCAAGTCAAGGCCTATAATGTTGCGATTCACCTAGTTTGAAATCCCTACGTGAAAAACGACTTCTGGAACTAGTTGAACTGGCACTAACGCACTCTTTAGCTATTAGAATATAACTTGAACAGCTGACCTGAGATCAGTGCTTTGAGGCGATCTCTACCTCATCTCAATGAACAAAGGCATTAATCATCACAAGCTGCTGATCGTTTGCATTTGGACAAACGGATAACCTTGAAGGCTTCAATGGAAAGCTCTTTGTGTTTTTATGAAGATGAGTTATTGGGTTCTGTGCTCGTCTACAGACAATCTGAACAGTGTTCTTACTGATATTTCAATGTCACTCGAGAAAAAAAAAAGAAAAAAACTTTTATGGGTTTGTTATTGAAGTATTATTAGAACCACATTTTAGGCGTTATAAACACGGTTTGAATGTAATTTCATCATACTTATGAATAAATAAATCACTATTCTGAAGCGTTTTCAAATGTGCAGTAGGCTGTTTTTTCCACAAGGCGGTGCTCTTGCTTTTGTAGGAGTACACATGCTGGTGAAAGTCACAAACAAGAGTAGTCAGGCAATTTTGTTGCTTGATTTAAAAAAAAAAAAGCTCCTAGCAACAAATTTAGCCATTTTTGACATTCATTTGGCTACTTTTAGCAATTTTTAAAAAGTGACTCATAAGTGAAGTGGCTTCAGGCTTCACCCAGTAAATAGCTAGCTCAAATTGTTTTTCATAACTGTTAATTTACTTATATTTGTTAACATGTATAATTTTTGGCAATTTAGGTAGCAATAAATTAAAATAGGGCTGTAATTGATGTCACTTTCGCAGACAGCCAGTCAATTTGAGAAAACATTAATTATTTTGTGTATACTACATAAATATGTAGTTTTGAGTTGTGATTACACAGTGACATCATCACGCAAAGCAAATTGTATAAAACCCTATTCATTGTGCATCTGGATGTATTATATTTTAATACACGGCGCCTCAGAGAGTAGAGACATGACTATGGAAGCCTTTTTTATTTTTATTTTTATTGTGTTTTAACAATACAAACAGATTAACTATAACAATGTATGACATCAAGTACAATAATAAACAAGTAAAATTAATATTAATAATAAAATAATGAAATAAGAATACAAAACAGAGTAAAGATGCTAATTATCAAATTAAATAATATTTACAAAATCCTTAAATTTAAGTTTTAAAACTTATTTGCTGTAAACATTTTGTAAAGTAGTAATTAAACAATTTTAGTCACAAATTATTATTATTATTATTATTATTATTATTATTATTATATGCTGAGCCCAATAAAAAATTATTAATATGACCCCACTATCTTTGTTGTCAATGGTGTGAAGATACAAGATGTGCAGCACCTGAAGCTACGAATACTGGAAGCCTGTGCTGGCATTTCTCCTGCGATGTTGCTATCAGTGTGTGAACAGTGGGAGAAGAGGGTTGCGTTGACAATCCAACACAATGGGCAGCACATTGAACATATTTTATAAGTGGTCAGAAACTTGTAAAAAAAACTCATGAAAGAATAAAGTTAAAACCAAGCACACCATTGTTTTTCTTGTAAAACTCCCAATAAGTTTGATGTGTCAAATGACCATCTTCCTATTGGAAAAAAAAATGATAGATCCAAGATGGCCGACTTCAAAATGGCCTCCATGGTCACCACCCATCCTAAAAAGTTTGCCCCCTCACAAGTGCCACAAACAGAACATTAATATCACCAACCAATCCCATTTTATTAAGGTGTATAAATGGCCCACCCTGTTGAAATATTGTGTCTCAGTTCAATGACTAAAGCAAGGGTCACCATCTCGTTCCTGGAGGTCCGGTGCCCTGCAGGGTTTAGCTCCAAATTGCCTCAACACACCTGCCTGGGTGTTTCAAGTATACCAAGTAAGACCTTGATTAGCTTGTTCAGGTGTGTTTGATAAGGGTTGGAGCTAAAATCTGCAGGACACCGGACCTCCAGTAACAAGTTTGGTGATCCCTGAACTAAATGATAAGTACAGTAGTAGAAGCCATTACCATAAGAAGTAATATTTAAAACAACTCATCTAAATGTTTTTGTTACATAACAATAGGAAAAAATCATGTTTCCGGGTGTGGTTGAAAAAAAGGGCTAATTATACTCTAGAGTTACAGCACTTGAAAGCTCTGCATTGGTAAGCTGATGCGTTGTTATACACTGGAGCTGTATGGTTATACTGTGTTCTTAGCACTAAATGTTCACTGATAGTTTGTGAGTTTGAAAACTGTCACTTAAGTGTGATGCCAATGACTGCAAAACATCCCACGTCATTACGTCAGCATTACACTATCCATGCCGCACTCTAATGAACCTAACAAAACATGCTTCCAGAGACGGACAGAAATAGATAAGTGGCAATTTTTAGACCACTAGGCAAATATCACACAAAGCTGCAAGCAGACATTCGTGTTTGAGGAGGCAGCTTGTGATAGTACTGAACCAAGCAGTAGCTACTGTTTAAAACCAACACAATCTCACGGTAATTAGTAACTTTTTTATTTAGTGTCTAATTCTTACATTTGCCACGCCTCCTTTTTAAAATCGTATGAATTCGTTTGATTAAGCCACTAAACTGGCAAAACATAAAATACTTACGTTTTCTTGTGAGATCAGGGTGATAAAACTATTTCAACATGATAACTAGTTTATTTTCTTGTGAAATATAAGCATAATTGATGCCATATAAAACTACAGAGTACCTAAAGAAAGTTATAAGTTATATAAAAAACAATTAAAATATGTTTTAAAAAAGTGGATAGGTTTAATTCAATCTCAGCTAGCAAAAATCATGTGGCTCAAATTCGGCCCACACCAGACACTTGTACATCCGGTCCACATACGGCATGGAATGATGGCACTTGGTCCAGTCCTTTTTGTCATAAGTGCCACATCTTTGCCTTAAATGGCCCATAAATGAATTTGAATCTTTGGCCCCCCTTTGCCATTGTACAGGTGGGCCACTTCAGGCTCACATGTATTTTGTGTGGGTCAAATGAATACCACCAGTGCTGCATGCCTAAAGTGGCCCACATTCGAATGCTATCTGGGATGCATTCATTCATATTTTCTTTCGACTTAGTCCCTTATTCATCAGAGTTTTCCACAGCAGAATGAACCACCAACTATTCCAGCATATGTTTTAAGCAACCCAGGCTCATTCTGATTACATACCCCTATTAAAATTTTTGGAGAGAGCAAAATACATCCAGGAGCTACATTTTTTTTATTCATTTATTTTTTTTGCAGTTTTTTTCTTTTTTGCTAATCCACCAGAGGCCACTGTGTACACTTTTTGAGATCTCAGATTTCTCTTGTGATTGCCAGAAGTGACAGGACATCTGACGTACAGAACTGCAAGAGTGTTGCGCTTTACAGAAAAAAAAAATTTCCTGCGTAAAAGTCATTTTTATTATAGTCTATATTTTTTCATTTAAAAAAAATCTGTAAAAAATATATATAAAATTATATTATTTTAGGTTGTTGTGTTACCGTCTTCTAGGCTAAAAGATGACACCATTTTGACAGTTGTAAGAAACACACAGTGACTGCTAGCCAGTTTTGAGGAAAACATGACACAGTTGTAACAGGGTGTTACAATTAAGCCACACTGTTGGACACCAGTTAAACTAACACAATAGTTTTTGGAATTTTGACTGTGATGTTGAGAACTTTTTATATCGAAAATGTTTTTTAATAGAAAATATTTTTTTAATAGAAAACAATTATTTTATTGCTAATAATGCAAATAAATGCATTGTATAATAATGGATAATAATGCAAACAGATTCAAATGTGTTTATCAAATAAACAATTAAATAAATAAACATACTGTGCTTTGTAGAATAAAAAAGAAATGAGCCAATACTGAGGAAATAGCTACTATTTAAAGTAAACAGGAATTAAATTAACTGTGTGAAATCTTCCTTTATAAGCATGTGTTACAACTAGCCCCCTGTCTGTTACAACTTGCCCCGCAGGTGGGGTAAATAGTAACATTTATACTCCTGGCACCTTTGGCAATACTGCAGAGAAACCATACTGTATGTCCGGCAATCATAATTTCAGTGCTCATTTGTAGGAGAGGCTTGTGTGTTTTTGGTAAAAAAAAAAAAAAAAAAATATATATATATATATATATATATATATATATATATATATATATATATATATATATATATATATATATATATATATATATGGTTTGTCTATAACCCCATAACTTTATTCATTATTTGACCAAAATCTAAAAATTTTACTTTGTGCCCAGCTCCCACCTAGAATACAATACAATACTGCACAATACAATATTTATTTATACATTTATTTATAAATACTTAAATGGTCTAAGTAAATGACAATCAGTATAAGTAAGAAATGTTTTTAATTTATGATATGTAAGAAATGTACAAAAAACTATGAAGTTACAATTACTTAATTGCATTGGTCTTTCAAACACTTAATTTAAGTCAAAATTCAATTAAATAAACAACAAAATGTATATTTACAGTGCACTGTAGCATTGGCATTGCACATTTGTCACAAATGGTGTAGTATTGCAGGCCCGTAGCCAGCCTGGTGAAAGGGGCGGTTCTTTTTTCTCAAAACGTGGACTTTTTTTCAGTTATTCACCTCATTTTCTATATAATTATGATGTTTAAATACTCCAATAAGTGGCATTTTAAGCACTATTTTATCTGGATTAGCTTGTTGTATCCTCCATTTTAGATGTACTAAAATATTTCCTAAAGATTTATAATAAACAAGTATAAAAAGAGCTTCACGATTTTCTTCTAGCCTCTCTTGAAAATTTATCTAACAACAACAGCCTAATTAAACAGCAAAAGTCAGTCTAAGGCACTTGAAAAATGTTGAAAAAATAATAAAAAAGCCTTTACTGACATGGCTATTTCTTAAAACTGCGCCTACACATGTTTTTTGATAACACTTGACTTCATCAGGGTAACCTCATGTAGCCACAGTTTTAAGGAACAACCATGTCAATAAAGGCTTTTTATTATTTTTCTCACTTTTTTGAGTGCCTTGGACTGATTTCGATGTTTATTCCAATGAATCCCTTACGCCAGGCATGTGCAAGCTTGGTCCTGGAGGGCTGGTCTCCTGCAAAGTTTAGTTACAACCCCAATCAGACACACCTGGGCTAGCTAATCAAGCTCTTACTAGGCTTAATAGAAACATCCTTGCAGGTGTGTTGGAGCAAGTTGGTGCTAAAACCTGCAGGACATCGGGCCTCCAGGAATGAGTTTGGACACCCCTGCCTTACACAAAGAGCACCGTGACATTATAAGCTACCCCTGAGAACTTTTTGTTTGATTTTAGACTTATATACACAGCCTAATTCGTATTAAAATTTACTTTAATAGGCTGCTTTTGGTGCTTCAGACCTTTTCATTGGTCAGTTTTTTTCTCTCAAGAATGAGTTTCAAGATTTAGAATAAAAGTTAGTCTACTTGTTAAATTTTTTTTTTTTTTTTTTTTTTTTTTACATCAGTAGGTTAATAGTGATGTTTACTTCACTTATGTCATATTGTGCGTTTTTACGATGACATAATAGTCAAAATATGTCGAATGAGAATATGTGGCAAATATTCTGGACCATTGGCAAACTCTGGACCTTTGTCAGTGGGAGTAGTTCTTTCGAACCACCCGAACCCCCCTGGCTACGGGCCTGTATTGGTAACAAAAAGGTAAACAGATAGGGACAGACAGACGTGTGATCGTGCGTAGGAAACGTCAGGTAACTGACAGGCTTTAAAAGTGAATGTTGAACATTGATTGGCCCGCAGTGCTGTGAAGTGGGCGTATCTTAGGTGTGGCTCCTTACTGAAGCGCTGGAGCTTCATCAGTTTCTCCGCCGCCGCGCAAGAGTTTGGAGAAGTTGAAGGACAGTCTGTCAGGTTTAGCCGAAGGTTCGTGCGCGCAGAGCCACCGAGAGCAGCGATGTCTGCCGAACCTATTCGCTCGGTTTTAGGCTCCGTTTCGACGGATGACACCTCGCTGGTCCTGCCGTCCGACAAGACTCAACGGAGGGGTCAGGAGCGCGTGCAGGAGCAGGTCAAGAGCATTCGAAGGAAGACGAAGATTGTCAAGAATGACTCCATCCCGTCGCCGACAAGTGAGTGCGCGCTTTAAATGTGTGGAACGCCAGTAAAACACCGTGAAAGCAGCGCTGCCTGTGTGTTTGGCAGTATCTGAAAACAATTTTCATGAGCAAGTTGAAGCAGGTTTTGAGGCAAAGCTGCCTTCATTTAATTAATTTCTCAAACACAAGAGTGTTTGACAGGGGTGTGTCTGAAAACCCTGAGAGCCGAAAGTTTGCCTAGACGGCATTTTTGGATTAAGAGATAAACACATTATTTCCCAAAATGCTGCATATTGCAATTACTATAACCCTCAAAATTCAGAAAACTGTTCTCACACACATTCATTTGGAATAAATAAATTAATTAATAAAAGTACTTTAAATTTTGTGTAAAGCTATATGTCAAAAAATACAAAATTATACAATTTCTTTTGTACTCAAGCAGAATTATCTTACTATAATAAGAAACTCTTAAGATTTCTCATAATTTTTCTCATTAGTACTAGCACTTCTGAAAAATCCAATTTTAATAAATTATTTGAGAATTACAAGTATTAAGAATTAACAAGTATTAAATTAGTATAAACTAATTTAAGACCATGATGCTCTAAACAAATTATTAAAACCTACATGGCTATTTTGAACCAAACATCATATATTAAAAAAAGGTAAATTTATTAAAATAAATGTATTTAATAAAAATAAAATAATTTATAATTTACATGTGTTTGTTTCTTTTTGGTTTTGTAAATGTTTATACAATAACTGCTTTTGACGCATCAGCTATGGTGTATCCAAACACAACGTGCGCAATAATAATGATAACAATAAATTATTTAATATGAAAAGCAGATGGGGCTAGTAAATATTAAATAACAGTTGTTTGTTTATGGCTTTGGTTATGCAGTGTTATTTTCTGGTGAACTTTTTGTGAACTAGGCATGAACAGACATGAACAAACATGCAAAAATGAGCAGTGTTGACAGGGTAGAAGCACAGATTTGGATTAAATATTCATAAAAAAATAATAATAGTAAAATATGAGTGACAGAACAAGCCTTCCCTTGTAAGACAAGAACACGTTTGCATACTTTCTTTTTAAAGATTAGTTTTTAGGTCTATATTATTATTATTATTCATTCATTCATTTTCATGTCGGCTTAGTGCCTTTATTAACCCGGGGTCGCCACAGGGGAATAAACCGCCAACTTATCCTGCAAGTTTTTTACGCAGCGGATGCCCTACCAGCGGCAAACCATCTCTGGGAATATTATTATTATTATTATTATTATTATTATTATTATTAATTTTATTATTATTATTATTATTATTATTATTATTATCATCATCATCATCATCATCATCATCATCAATGATGGTCGTGTTATTCTTTGCCATGATGACAGTGAATAATATTTTTCTAGATATTTTTCAAGACACTTCTATACAGCTTAAAGTGACATTTCAAGGGTTAACTAGGTTAACTACACTCTAAAAAAAAATTCCGTAAAAAAACAGTAAAATGTACTGGCAGCTCATTACACAAATATTTTACCGTAAATTAAAAACGGAAAACTTCTGTTAATTAACAGTGTGTCCACATTAAAAAAACTAAAAAATATCCGTTTTTTGACAGTTAAACTACTGTAAAATAACCAACCATTTTATAGTAATTTAAGGGTTTTCTATATAAAAAAACGGTTATTTTCTGTGTTTTAAAGGGTATACCAACAGTAAAAAAGCGGAAATATTCTGTGTTTTAATAGTATACCTACTGTAAAAAAACAGACAGATTCTGTGTTTTAATAGTATACCTACTGTAAAAAAACAGACAGATTCTGTGTTTTAATAGTATACCTACTGTAAAAAAACAGACAGATTCTGTGTTTTAATAGTATACCTACTGTAAAAAAACAGACAGATTCTGTGTTTTAATAGTATACCTACTGTAAAAAAACAGACAGATTCTGTGTTTTAATAGTATACCTACTGTAAAAAAACAGACAGATTCTGTGTTTTAATAGTATACCTACTGTAAAAAAACAGACAGATTCTGTGTTTTAATAGTATACCTACTGTAAAAAGAGGAGTTTTTTGGGTTTTAATAGTATACCTACAGTGAAAAAAATAACAGATTCTTTGTTTTAATGGGATACCTACTGTAAAAAATAATTATTTTACTAATTTAATGCTCTTCAAGCAGCATAGAAATGGCAATTGGTAAGGACAAACATATACATATGGGAAATACACTATTAATGGTTTACAATAGTAAAACAAAACATTTATTCTATACTGTATGTGTAGAGAAGCAGTAAATAGTTTGTTATCTATGAACTTACAATGATTAGTACAAAAACAACTTTGCAATTAAAACAGATTTTTTAATGAATACAAATCATTTGAATTCCAAATAGCTAGTTATACACACAATAATACATATTGACATGTGAATCGCACAGTGACAAGTCTTGGCAAATAATCTCATAGCAAATTAGTTTTAAATGTTAGCTTTAAGATAATTGAGGACAAGTGGGCAAATTACAAGTACTTTACATTAAGAAACCAGGTTAACTGCAAGATGGCAGGAAATAGACGATACAACTGGGTCTTCTTCCTCTCCAATACTGATACTTCAATGGCTGTAAAACAAAAACAAAACAAAAAAACATTACTAATGACATTTCACTTACAACTGGGGTGATTCCTAGCATGTCAATAGTTCTGTTAATCATTGACTCTACATTAATAGATGTTAGCAGTCGGTTATAAATACAGCTACAAATGCTGTAATCTTGACTTAAGCACATTTATAATGTGCTTAATAATTGTGTTAACAAACTTTAATGATTGATTTTACATGACTATTTTCATATATATATATATATATATATATATATATATATATATATATATATATCAGGGCTCGAAATTAACTTTTTTACTTGGTAGCACCGGTGCTCCCAACTTCAAATATTTAGGAGCACCAAAATAAATTTAGGAGCACCAGAAAAAAATTAGGAGCACTCACCAAAAATGATTGAGCACCGCTGCAAATTGCTTTTTAAGGGATTTATTGTATTTTAAAACAACATTAATAGGACTGACAAAAACCAGAAACAACTATCTAACTAATGCTGCGAAGACATTGATATTTGTGTGCAATAATTCCAAAATGAATGTCTAATAATTATAGAATATTAGTGATGATGAAAATGACAATAATAGTAAAAAATGAATTCCATTTCTCATTATGATACTGCCTTGAATGTGCATGAATGTAGGTTATCTGCTATAAAAAGTCTGTTACTTTATGAAAAATAATTGTATAGTTTGCATCAAACAAAAATGAAGCATTGCAGTAAGAAATATGTATTTGGTACTGCTGTTTTTATATGCATGTCAGTTTAATAAATAATATTTCTGCTACAAAACAAACAAAAGATTATAATAAATCATTCAATTCAATGAGGAAAGCTGCAAAGCAGTCATCAGTAACTAAATAAAAAATAAAAATAATATACACCTCAAAAAAGAATAGACAAAAGAAAGTAAATAAAGTCTCACTTCTATCACTCTTTAAAAGATTTGGTTTCAGTTTGTGTCAATTTAAAGGTTCAGTCTGAGCTGATCTTCATTTTTCTGTGTTAGTGGAAAAGCAGGCGAGTCAGCCGACCCAATTTATGAGCAGGCAGCGCAAGATTCTTGCGATGACCACCGGCGGAATACCGGTCTTTGTTATGAGCCGCAGTTTCAGTGTAAACTTAGTAAAGGCGAGCTTCTTTGGCGATGATATGTACAGTATTAGATTTGACTTTTAGCGGACATTTGCGCTGAACACGCAGTGAATGCAACGCATCGAGATTCGAGCGCCTTCTCCAAGAAGCGCGTACTCGATTGATCTCAGCTGGCGGATCATTATTCACCACGTGACGTGTCATGATCGCTTTCATCTGCACCTCAACTTTAGGTGGGGTTTGCAAACCTGTGTGCTTTAAGTTTTTACTCTTCAGCCGTTTGCATTTCCCGTGGTCATAAAAGCTCCTTCCCTGTCATCTGACAGCGGAATACCTTGAGTGAATGACAGCTATAATGAACCAATATAGCGGCAGGGAAGAGTGATTCAGCACGTTTTTACAAAAAATCAAAACAGGTCGCACTACAACCATTATCTGCAGTCGCTCTAATGCTCCCAGATATATTATGAGGTCGCATAGATTAATTTTCGGGCGCATATGCGACCAAAATGGTCGCAATTTCGAGCCCTGTATATATATATATATATATAAAAATCAGATCAGCCACTTTTGATGTTCCCCGTGTTGCTGTGTGTTTGAGTACGCCCTTGGAAACACCAATACACACTTATTTACAAACACCCTCATACACTACAGCCAATTTAGTTAATCAATTTCCCTATAGCGCATGTCTTTGGACTGTGGGGGAAACCTGAGCACCCGGAGAAAACACACAGCAACACGGGGAAAACATGCAAACTCCATACAGAAATGCCAACTGGGACTCGAACCAGCGACCTTCTTGCTGTGAGGCGACAGTGCTTGCCACTGAGCCATTGTGCTGCCCAACTATTACTATATGCCTGAATAATAAGATATTTAAATGTTAGTTTGAATAGTTTATTAACCATTTACTTACACATTCTGAATGATTAGAAAAAAAATACACCAACTATTCTTAAATCACTGGTTTGTAAATAATGCGATACTAAATTTAGTAATGAAAAATTAATCATTAACAAAATATGAAAACAAAATAATTAAGCACATTATAGATGTGCTTATAAGTCAAGATTACAGCATTTACAGCTGTAGTTATAAACTGTATACTAAGGTATATTAATGTAGAGTCAATGCTTAACAGAACTTTTTGCTAATGCTTAATAAATTAATCAATAGTGTTTAGTTATTATAAAGTGTTATCGGTGTGCTTAATTACCTTTAAATCTTCCAAGGATTCTGAAAGTCTTTCTGGTCTGACAGGAATCGAAGGAGTTCAGATGGTATGTTTCTGCT